ACCTTACTTAGCACACCAAGCTCTTCTCATCCTAGCGTGGCACTGTTGATATCTGGAGGGAGAGAACTGGTTAATCCAACTCCCAAGAGACTGTTTCATAAGCTAGAATTCCAACTTACAGAAATATAATGGGAAGAGACATTGTCATCAAGTCGGACTTTCCAAACGTCATCCTGTCGCCTTCATTACCTCTGTGGGTGGCCTGCTGCTTAGGGAGCCCTCAATACATGTCCTTCAACTCCTGCTGCCCAGTGGGCAGCCCCCAAGGTTAATGCCTGTTGTCCAGTCTTCAGAGTTAGGTGAACTCCAAGTTCCCCAGTAGCTGCACATTCACCTGTCTGCATTGTAATCATATTGTGCTGTTATTCCTGCTCCCAACACAGCACCAGACCTGGTGGGAGAGGAGTAATCTCCTGACCCCTGGACCCCTCTTTATCCGCCTCAGCCCCCTTCTCCTCCCAAAGTAACAAGCATGGTGCTCTTGCCCCCGACCTGCCTGCTGCTCTGATGAGCTTCCTTCTGATTTACAGAGACATATGCACTTAGGACAGGCAGGGGCTTGTCACCGCCTTCAAGGCCCAGGGTACCTGCATCACCATGTTGAGCACAGAACACGTAAGATCTTCTATTTATTTTAATTCCAAAAGACCCCCATGTGCATTTAATTGGAATTGGGCACTGCAAAGCCAGGAGGAAGCCGTGGTTTTCACTGTGAAGAATCAAGAAGTGGCCTTCAGGCTTCTGTGCCAGGGAGGCTCAACTCAGAACAGCTGAGTTTGTTCAATTCTTAATCAAGGTGCTTGGAATTCTTTCCAGAAAGCTCTTGTTGTTCCTATTGGTGGTGGCAGTGAACAGGGCAAGGGTCATTGCTGGTGTGACCCGGAGCCTCCCACAACCAGCGCAGTGAGGTACAGATCAGAGCAGCTTTGCTTTTTGCCTATGATGGAAAACCTTCCTGTGATTTAACACACAAAAATAAACACTAGTCCGGCAGGAATTTTCAGAAAGAGCAGAAGAGCCAGTAACTTACAGAATGGAAGCTTTTTTCAAAGCCCCAGCAGCTGTAAGTACCTAAAGATAAATTGCCGTTTTACATGGAATTTTTCATTTATTAGGTATCATATTTGATGAACCTTAGCAACCTGGGCTGGGAAGTATCTCTAAAAGTTTTACAAATGAAAATGAGGCGGACTTTATGGGGGAATCTGAATTGTTGGAATGTAAACAAAATGTACATATGTTATTTCTTGGGAATAATATTTCCCCTAGGCAAGACATAAATAACTATATAGTTGCTCCCCAAGAGTTATCTTATTTGATCTTGTATGTAAGCGCTCTCCTGTAATTCCAAGTGTCTGCAATTTCAAAAAAGGAATTTTTAATAATAAGATATGGTATTATTCCTCCATGAGAATTAATACAATGCAAAAAAATCAAAATGTACTGCTGCTTGCCGCTGTACCCCGCCTCTGTATGGATCATCTGTGGATCATTTCAGAACTCTTCTGTTAATGGACATAGTTTTACGTAGTTTTGTTTCTGGCATTGTCGGTTGTGTCCTATGATTTGTCGGGGGGTCTATTTTTTCCTGGGATTGTTCATATTATTTTTAATTACTACATAGTATTCTACCCTGTAGCTGTGTCTCAGTGTATTAACCACTCCTGTAATGATTTTTATTTTCAGTGCTGAGGATCAAACTCAGGGCCCTGCACATGCTAAGCAAGCGCCCTACCACTGAGGTACACCCCAGCCCCAATGCCTAGCATCGGTATCTTTCCCATTTTCCTGATATTGTAAACATTGCCTGTAAGAACACGCCTATATGTACCCTTTTGCGTGCTTGGGCAGTTCTCTAGAAGAAATACAGGAAGGTAAGCATGTTTTACATTTTAAACAGATACTGCCAAATTGCCCTCCAAATTTTTCATACTACTTTACACTCCTTCCAGCTGTGATACTGGGGTTCTGTGATACTAGTCCTTTCCTTAGGTTAAAGCATTGCAGCCAAGGGAGCACTGGCTATTAAAATATAAATTACTCGGATGGGGGTAATGAAGTCCATAAAACCTGACCGTGAGTAGTTCAGGGGTAGTTTTGCTGGAAGTCGGGAAGCAAGCAGCTGCATTCCTAGGAAGTGAGAAGCGGCCCAAAGACAGAGGGTGATAAGGGTGAGAATGAGGTGATCAGTAAAGGATAACAGAGATTGAAAAGGGACTGTTGTGGGCAATTTGCCCTTGGGAAAGGGATGTGGGCGAGGCAGGAACTGTCCTCTTCAATGCAGAATTAAGGGGTTTGGAGTAGATGTGTCTTGTATGCTCTCTTCCCTGCACAGCCCTGCCCAACCTTCTCCTGTCTCCACCAGCTGCTGTGTGTGTATGCATGTGTGCGTGTATGTGTGCATGTGTGAGTGCATGTGTGCGTGTGCACATGCACATGTGTGATGCCTCTGCTTAGACAGTATATCAGCCTTTAGAGAAACCAGTGGCAGGATAGAGATGTCAGGCTGAGGCAGCTCTCAGCCAAATTCTTTCCTGATAGATAGTAATCATTTCTGAGACCACAGAGACACAGCAGAAGGTTCCAGCTCCTCAGCCTAGTCACCTTCTCAGTGCTCGTCTATCCCACGTGCCAATTTAATGAAAATTAAATGAACATTTCTTTCCACTCCCAAACTGTTTGACAATCTTACCCAGGAAAAATCCTTGCTTTGCTCTTGAAATCCCTCCCCACCTGTGATGGAGAATGAGGAAGGAAATGGATTTTGCAACTCGGGCCATGTGTTTCATTCGCTAGCATTTAATTCATGTAATGAGACCCTTAACCTTCACAGGGGAGCTTCTATAAGACTGAGTACTTTTTTTTTTTTTTTTAACTTGGAGTCAGTACACTGTAGTAGAATATTTTACCAGAAGTTGTAAGTGTTCAACCACCTTGATCCATTTCCTTTTTCTTTGCTTTCTTACTGGCCTTTTTTTGTTTCCACCTGTCACTGTCACTGCAACTGATTTGCAATCAGCACTTCTAAGGCAGTGGCTTCCAAACTTTGCTGAGCATCAGAATCACCTGGAACATTTTAAACATCCCAACACCGAGCTCGTACCCTATATTCATTAAGTCAGAATGTCTGGGATTGGAGCCAGATCCATTGGAGAAAAAAATCCTTTTGGTTTCAAAAACAATTTCTAGGAAGGACAAGACAAGGAAACAATTAAATATTTGAAATACTCTAGTTTTCTGTGGCCAAAGAATGTCCATGACATGGTAGACTATTTAACAATAATTTACAGAATGAGATTACATACTAATCAAATCTGTCCCACTGGGAGTTTAATGTGGGTGTGGGGTTCTCATCTGGGGGTGTAGCTCAGTGACAGAGCACTTGCCTAGCATGAATGAGGTTTTGGGTTTAATCACCAGCAATTTGAAAAAACGAGTACAGAAAGCACATTAACCACAGTGCTTTCTTGGTATTTATTAGAAGTTTGCGTGTGATACAGCACAGGCATGCTGTAGCACAGAAAGAAGGGATCCTTCGTGAAATGTATACAGTCCCCTTAGCAACCAGCAGAGAGCATTCGCCAGCATCTTGCTGAGGAATTACAGGAATTAGGCTCCTTTTGAGCCTCAGGGCTTGGAAAAGTAAGCAGAGAAAGCTTTACCGGCACCTGCCTTTTGCCTACGCACTGCCTATTACTTTTACTGCTCTCACGTACTTGCACTTCATTACTTTTACAATTCTAGAGAATGCCCCAAAACTGAAGAGTCCTGTCCTCAACTGGCAGGACATGGATCAGCCTCCTGCCCCCTCACAGGTCTCTTGCCCAGTGAGTCAGCACCTGTGCCCCATAAGAATGTGTGCAAGTTCCAGAGCTGCTTTCTCCTGCCCTGGGAGGGAGGTGATTCCAGAACCTGTAACAGCTGGGGAGGGGGGCGCTGCTCCTCCTTCTCAGCCTTTCTTTCTTTCTCATTGAGTCTCCAAACGGCAACTGTTCAGTCTCCTCAAGCAACTCATTTGGAGTGTTTCAGACCAGACCCTGTCACCTTCTTCCCACTAGCACAGCCCTCCGTGGATTGCGTCACCGGCACAGACAATGGTGCGTGCTCTGACTCTGCTCTATGCCAAGGAGAGAGTCACCTCACAATTCAGGGCAGTCCTCTAGGGGACTAATGTTGGGCTCTGTTCCTGATACTGTGTTTTAACAGCGCATCTGCGTCTGTTGCAGTGAGGGGTGTTCTGCTGTATCTTTCTCCTCCTTCTCTTCCCTCTGCTGCCTTCTTATCTAACCTCGATTATCACTTCTTTTGTAACCACTGCCTTACTGTCTTTTGTCCTCCCCACCACCCAGTGCTGGCACAATCTGTTTGTTTTTTTGTTTTTCTCAAAATCGCCTTTAAAGATAGAAAGTTAGAACAAGTAGAATTAAGTTATCTCTGAAGGAACCTTGTGTTTTACTCTTGTGACTTCTAAGTGTAGAATTCTCGCTGAAGGCCTAATGGCATTTGAATTTCACTGGGACCTCTTTGGAACTTTGATGTGGCCTACTTGTGGGCCGGTGGTGCTGTTGGGTGGAGGTAAATGTTACAAAACTTACCTTTAGTGACCTTTGATTGAACTTGGGGGAAAAGAAAACAACTCCTTAAGGAAATCTGAGGTGATTGATCATTTTGTGCAATTTCTATTTATTTGGTCTAGGTAAGTAGGCGTCTTTCTTTATTTCTAACCTGAAAGCCTAATGTTTTAGCTTGAAAAGAACATGGTAGTCTATGGCCATACCACCCTGAACACGGCTGATCTCGGAAGCTAAGCAGGGTCGGGCCAGGTTAGTACTTGGATGGGAGAAAAGAACGTGGTAAAGGAAAGAATCTTGCAAGAATCTGTTGACAAGGACCTTGAGACTCACGTCATCTGTGTCACAGCTTTTCACTGTTGACAAACTTAGTATGTTTCCTGTCTGAACCTGCCTGTAAATTGCCATAATCTTTCTACCGTTTTATAGGACTGCCAACCAGGCTCCCGGAAATCATGCTGGTAGGATCCCAGTCCTTCTCGCCAGGAGGGCCCAATGGGATCATTAGAAGCCAGTCCTTTGCGGGCTTCAGCGGGCTTCAGGAAAGACGATCCAGGTGAGTAGCGGTGGCTTTCTCCTGGGGTGCGGCCTGGGGGTGGCTTCTGAGGTTCTGAGGAGGAGTAGCCCGTGTGCATGCAGCTAGCAGTCCCCTGTGCTATTTTAACGTCTTTTTCTTAGAAAAGATAATGCACCCGAAATTAGGTGCTGTCATTCCTCTTCTATTATTTTGACTTCCTTCCTCAAAGCAGATGGCTGAGGACTTAGGATAAGCTAGTGATCACTGTGCAAACCTCTCCCCACCCTACCCCACCCTTTTTTGCTGCACGTTTTCCACTGCACGTTTTCCACTGCACGTTTTCCACTGCGTTCAGATTTGGTAGACCGTGCTGGGCATGCAGTTATGCAGTGGGTAAAGACGATGCCCTGTGGGCTGACTCAGAGGAACAGATGCCACGCAGATAAGGGTTACAAAACTTAGTGTCCCAGTTGCCCCGGAGTCTCTTCCATCTACAACAGGATAGCACAAGTAGTGAAGAGGTGGCATGTTACCGTCTGTGTGTCTGCCTCATGCCCTATGAGCATGTTGTCTCACTAGGTGCACACAGTGGCAGCAGAGGAACATCACTGATAGCTGACGGGAGGGGGTGCAGCTGGCACCTGGTGGCACCCAGGTCTTGGCCCCCCACAGAGAGCCAGGCCAGTGAGCCCTTGAGCCTCCTGGTCTCCTAATCAGATCAGTAGTTCAGGTTTAGGTCATCAAGTGTCTGTCTTGCTACTGTCAGCTGCATTCTTGCCATCAGTAGAGATGTTGCATTTTTATAAGTTACATTTACATATGAGTTTATAACAGTGTGGCTTTAAACACAGCTCTCCATATAGCTGTGTGTGGGTTTTTGTAAATGCCATATAGAATTAGCTATTGCTGTCCTCCTGGCCCTTTATCCAAAAATGACCCCCATCATAGTCAAATGTAATAGAGGTTTTGTTACGGGGTAGTTCCTTTCAAAAAGGTTCAGGAACTACATGTATTCTGGGTCCTTCTTCTCTTACACAAAGAACTGAATGAGAGAAGCCAAAACGGTGTCCAAAGTTTATTTGAAAAGTGAGGAGGGAAGGAGTAAGGGAAAAACTGGCTCTGCAGAGCAAACTTGGGGCAAACAAAAGGGGAAAGAGAAAAACAGAAATAAAAGTACACCCTGGCCTAGAAGACACAGGGTGGGCTGCCATGAAAAGTCACAATAGGGAGCTCTTTGTAGCGTCTGTGTCTCCATGTGTCAGCCACATCTCATGGGAACTCACAAAAAGTTCTACATACTGTCCTGGGAATTATTTGGTGCTGTCCTGGGATCTTGTAATAAACAAGTCCTGCTTATTTCCCCTGTCAGCTTTGTTACACCCCTTGCTCCTGTCTGAGTTTGTGTCCGATAATGCACAGTGCATTTTCTTTAATCGTATTGCATCCCTTTACCTGTTTGTTATTTCCACCTGGAAATATTTACCTTTGGCTTCCTATAGGGGTTGGGAAGGTAGTGGAACAGCACTCACCACTCTGAATGTACATATCCGGAAGCCAGGCTTCATCTCCATATGGCTAAGCTTTCAGATTTCAGCAGCTGACAAATCTGGGACCAAGTAACGAATGTAGGCTGCCTCAGATCCGTTAATGTACAAGGGCACATTATCTTCCCCAAAGGACACTAATATGAGCCCAAGATAATTTATTGTTGTGTTTTTTTTTTTTTTTTTTTTGGTTTTTCTCCGGTACCAGGAACTGAACTCACAACCTTGTGCTTGCCAGGCAGGCGCTTTTGCACTGAGCTAAATCCCCAGCCCCTAGCCCAAGATAATTTAAAAGGTACTTTTTTGGTCAAATCCTTTTGGATGGCCCAGCCTCACAATTTCTTTTCTCTTTTTCTTTCCCATAGGTGTAATTCCTTCATTGAAAATTCTTCTGCTCTCAAGAAGCCCCAGGCCAAACTGAAAAAAATGCACAATTTAGGTCACAAAAACAACAACCCACCTAAGGAGCCTCAGCCAAAAAGGGTAGAAGAGGTCTACAGAGCCTTGAAAAGCGGACTTGAGTAAGAACGCCGGACCTGATAATGCACTTTGTGAAAAAAGAGAACCGTTCCCTTTCTAAAATGACCAAGAGAAAATGACCAGGCTAATCCTTTTTAAAATGCCTATTTCTGGAGTAACTATCTTATTCTAACACTGTAGTGAGGGATGCCTTTAAGGAGTCCCAAAGATGGGAAATACGTGGGATTCCACATCATATTGTCTTGCCAGACAGTGAGAGAGACCCAAAACACCGTTTGGACAGGCAGGAGCAGACCCAGAACAGCACATTTCGGACAGGCAGGTCCCCTGTAGGGACTGCTGAAGAAGGAGTCTGTACCTTCCTATGTTACAGGGCTTATTTGCTCCCAGTCAGATGCTCCTAGCATGTAGTGAGACACCTACAGTCAGGGTTGTGTTTCACCAGATAGAAATCTGTGAACCCACATCCAGGACTGACCCAGTCCATATCTCCCTGCTTCCGCTCTTGCTGGTTCTTCGTTTCTGGACCTTCAGTCTCACAGGTATACTCCTTTTTGATAAGCCAGGCAGTGTCAGGTGCAGCTATTAGTGTGTGCAAAATGGAAAATCCAAAGCCTGCTCCCCAACTGCAGAGCACGGTTCAGCTTCCCAACCCCTCTGCAAGAAGAAAAAGTCATAACCTCACCAGATTTGTCTTCTCAGTGAGAGTTCACAGCGGGATATTGTGCTGTCTTTGCAGTGAGTATCTGGAGGTTCACCAGACAGAGTTGGACAAGCTGACGGCCCAGTTAAAAGATATGAAGAGGAACTCCCGCCTGGTAGGGAGCACGCGGCCATTAGGGGGTTGGCGCAGCAGGGTTTGAAGCTCAGTATCTTCTTTTACTGGGTGGGAATGAGGAGGGATATTTAAGAAAAGCAGATCCAAGGGGCCAAGTCCTCTGTGCTGCTGATGTGTATTTTAGAAGGAAGAAGAGGGTTTTCCTCCTGATGCTTTCTTCGTCACACTCTGGTGTTTTCCAGACATGTTTGTAATCACTCAAACTTTATACTCAGGAAAAGATACTTTCTGAGAAAACTTCTGGACCCCCACCCAAATAATATAACGAAATGAGAAGTTGGAGTTTTCACAGCATACATTTAAGCTCATTCAAAAATCAGAAACTAGACCTTTTCCTTATTTCCAATTAAAAAAAAAAAAAGTAGAAGTCAGTGATGCCGGGGAGCTTTGGAAAGGAGGCTCAGGGAAGAGAAGTCAGAGGAGTTCTTGGGCCAGGTCCATGCCACACGGCTGTGCAGACTTCTTCCATTCCCACGAATTTGCGGGATGTGTCTGCTCAAAGAGGTATTTCCAATGCCAACAGTATTTTCAATGATTTTTCTTTACTTCCAAATGCTATTATATCTTACTATTACAAGATGTCAAAAAGCCTAAGAAAATCTACATGTACCCAGGAAGTACAGGTGCACAGGGATACCTGTTACCTTTTATTTTTTTAGGATATGGGCTAAAATGTACATTGTCAACCTTTTCAAAGGCTTCATCAGGATAGAGTGGTTTACATACTAGTGGCGCTGGAGTATAAACCCGGGTCTATGTGAGCTCCTGTGGGATGGCTTCCTTCAGAGCCCGTGAATGCCCTTAGCCTCCCGCCACTGGAGCAGATGCTTTTCCGGGGAGAACAAAGGTAGAAGGATGGAGGGACTTCCACCAGGACCCGGTGTCCCACAGGACCTGCAGATGGGGGATGTGGATTGAGCATCATTGGTAATGGTGACACTGTGCAAAAGCAGGAAATGAACTTGCTTGAAAAACAACTCATGAAACCATATCAACACCCCCAAGAACTCTTCTTTAAAACCAACTTTTTTGGCCTAAACAGCAAGTGGTGTTTTTTTTTAACACGTATGCCACTGCTATATTCTACCTTAGTGTGACTTATTTTTATATTTGCATTTTGTTGTGTTGTTTGCTGTTGCTTCTTGAAGGGTTGAGACTCACACCCAGGGCCTCCCATGTGCTAGGCAAGTGTGTTACCACTGTACCACACTCCCAGCCCAACATCACTTATTTTCTAAAACTTCAAAACTGAACACAGAGTCACCTGCCCCTCGATATGTAGGACAGGAGAGCTCAAAGTGAATGGAAACCTTAAGTCTCCCAAGAGGAGCCTCTCCCAGGGGAGGACTGGGTGAACTTTGGGAAACAGAATGCAAACAGATATGGGCTCTGAAAAGTCCTCTTACTGGTATTAAAGTAACCCAGATTTCTACTCTTTTTAACAAACTATCAGAACATCCACCAGAACTTGGCATGGCTGATGATCATTTAGCAGATAATGCAGAAATATTGTCTAACCCCCTGTGTTAATAGTTTGGAGAGGATATGTTTTAACCCAGGTGCTCTTTTGTGTTTCAGGGAGTGCTGTATGACCTAGACAAGGTAGGTGACTGCTGTGCTGGCAGCTGCTGGAAGATAAAACTGTCTGTGAGTCAGTGTCAGTAAGAGACCCTCTGGGGACCAGTAAACTCCTAAAGAACTGATGATGTTTGTTATCTTGAAAAAAATCTATGCTTTGTCTAAGAAGGACGATGTGTAAATGCTGTGATCTGAAGGTTCCCTAAAGTGTTTGAGGTCACTTCCACAAATATGCCACTGGGTATTAGGGCTTTCTGATGTTTTTTGGTAAATTTGAAAACTTTACGTATTTGGATGCCCTTACCTGAATTATCTTTAAATATTAACTCCCATATTTTATCAAATACATCTTTGATAGGAAAACTATTGGAAATGCACTTATGTGCCACTAAGGAACCAAAAATAATTCTATTAAACTCACACAGTTCTTTAACTTAAAATTTGTATTCTATTTCCAAGGACAAATTTCTTTTAGACAGATGTTTTTTCTTTCTTTCTAGTTAATAGATGGTGTTGCCTTTCTTCCATGCCTTGCTGTGTCCACAGTAACTACTTCAATGCTGAATCATTGTATGTTCTTTCTGAAGATATTTTAAAGGGCAATTAAAGTAAATGCAAATAACAAGAATATTTATAACTCAGATGACGCAGGAGCAAATAGGATTATCTGTGAGCATGCACAGGCAGCTATCGGCCGCTTGGCCTGGAGTGATTATAAACTGCACCCCAACTGCAGAGACACCAAAATGTGAAGGGAGAAAAGCCCACTTTAGAACCAAAAACATTAGTCTGAAATATCTGAAAGTTTATTATGGTACTGTGCTGCCAGAAATCCAGTGCATTCTGCTGGATAAACCCTTGGCCTTTGAAGTTAAACACAGAGATTATGATAATTAACTCAACTTTATCTCTCAAAATAGCCAATAGTTTAGAAAATATTTTCCAAATTGATATTACAGCATCTCTTTAAAAAAATAAGAAGAAACAGTCTGCATTTTCTGGTATTTTTGTATATGAAATAATAAAGAAAACATTCTCACACACCTAAAGCAATTGAATTGTGAATGGGTGCACTTTTTAAAAAACTCATTCTCTTTATTCCAGCAAATGAAGACAATTGAGAGATACATGAGACGTCTGGAGTTCCACATTAGCAAGGTAATTGAAGTTCCTGCGCTCTCTGCCTGATTCCAGCCCTTGGTTACTGATTGATACACCTTTGGCCTGAGCGTAGCATCCGTGAAGAATTTCCTCTCTAATGGACTGTTTAACTCATTAGCACTGGCGGTTTTCAATAGGCAGCAAAGATAGGAGAAATCAGGCTGCAAAGCTTGGTAGCCTAGCCCAGTCTGGATAGACCCCTGCAGACATTTATCGAGCACTTCCTGTGTGGCTCTCAGCATGCCTGGCAGAGGGTATCTCGTGTCAGTACAGCAGGGGTAGAGATAAGATCAAACCAACCCAACTCAACAAAGAACATCTTCCATGGCTAGCTTTGCCCTGTGGTTCCACAAAGCTTGCGTGAAGACCTTCTAATTATTGAATGACAACCACCCATGTGTCTCCCTAAATCTTCCTCAAGTTCTCAATTCCTTCCCTGCTTCCTCAAATGGCATAGTCTCAATCCCTGCTACCCAGCCTCAAACCCTATAAATATTTCACAGATGGTCTGACCATGCCATTATGGATAGGACTATCGCCTTTGTTCTGAATACTGCCGGCAATTATCGGCATCAGCTAGAGATTTCCTTTGGAGGCAGCCAATCACAAAGAATTCCTGTCCCTATCCACCCCCATCAGCCTCTGTCCCAGTGGGGTCCTGAGAGTTTTAGCACATCTTCCTATCAGTAATCAGAAGCCTCAGTTTTGTGCCCAGTTATACGCGCTCCATGGACCTTGGCCCTCCACTCTGTGAAACACATTCAATCCAGATAACTCTAGGAAGGCTTTCAGGCTTAAAATTTGAATATGATTTAGATGTGAGTGGACAGATGTATATGCGTGTGCCTTTGTACATTCCCACTTTGAAAGGTATTTATTACCTAGGCAAATCTAAAATTGCTCCTATTCCTGCCAAGCTCAATGAATAAAATGATGCCAGCCATCATAATGTGTCTGGCACATACTGGAAGAGGTACCAACACGGTTTCCAAAAGTTTTCTGGAGCTCTCCCACATCAGAATGATCTGTAGTGTTTATTTAAAATTTCAGATTCCTGGTCCAGCCTCACCTACAATGCATCAGCTTCAGCATTATAACAGTGTACCAGTTTAGGTGTTTTGGGTTTTTTTTTGCGGGAGGGGTGTCTTTCTTTTTTGAGCCAGGGCTTCACTATGCAGTTCAGGCTCACCTTGAACTCACTTTGTAGCCCAAGCTGGCCTGAAACTTGCAGCAATCCTCCTGCCTCAGCCTCCTGAGTACTGGGATTGCAGACATGCACCACCATGCCTGGCAATTTAAAGTATGGAGACTATACATATGCCAATTTCCCACCAAAAAAAAAGAAAAAATTATTAGCATATATGCTGACCTTGAGTTTATCCCTCCTCCTTCTTAATCAGGGAGAGCTCCATTAACCTGAGTTTAGGAATCTGTCTCAGAAAAGTTGAGTGAATTGTTAAACTAAGTAGAAACTAAGTATCCTTTAAGCAAGAGAAAAAATGTTCCATCTCTTCATGACGTTTGTATAGGCAAAACAATCCTGGAAAATTGTATCATTGCAGCCTGTAGTAGTAATATTTTTTAGCAAGTAACTAAAAGTTTTCTTGTACAACAAAAGAGTAATCTCAAACTCTGAAATCTAGTACCTTTCAGACATCACCTTCATCGTGTTTAAACACGGTTGCTGCTCATATTTTAGCTTCATCGAGATCTACAACTAAGCCTCCTTTTCAAGGGAACAAATTTTATCCTGAAATGAAAATTCAGATAGCCCTGGTGGGCAGCTGCCTCTCAGAAATGAAAGGTTTCATTGCTTCTGCCAGTGCCTGGTTCTATGGTTCCTTCTTTGCTTTCCTTTTTTCTTTTCATTTTCTTTATTAGTATGTGTCTGTAGTACATAATGTTTACACCCTTCAGGTAAACATGTGCATAACACATCTTAATTCCTTTTTTCATCCCTTTCCCTCTCGTTCATCTCTTGATCCTTTTCCTCTTTTAGAAAGATCTGTGCCCCTACTTCCTATTATCTATCTTTTATTTTGCTCTTTCTTATCTGCCTGAAAACTCCTGTGGTTAACTGTACAAGACTGTGCAGACTGCAGAGATGGTACAAGACTACAGAGATCAACATCATCAGAAATGACGTTAGGAAAGGTGTTTTCAGCCTCAGCCCTGTTGATATACGAGAACACGCCTTTGTTGTAGGAGGTGATGCGGGGCATTAAACAGTGTTTAGCAGCCCCCAACCCCCATATGCCAATAGAACCTGAGGATACAAATCACCTTCGGTTGATTGAGAATCAGTCCCTTAAAAGTGCTAGCCAGGTGTGGTGGCACACTCTGGAGGCTGAGGCAGGAGGATTGCCATGAGTTCAAGGCCAGCCTGGGCTGTCTAGTGAGTTGACGAACAGCCTGAATTACATAGTGAGACCCTGTCCAAAACCAAACAAACAAACAAAAAAGCAGCAGTGATTTGAAAGGGTACATTGTGTCTTGGAAGCATACGTGTAGAGGGATTGCAGATGGAAAGTTCATTTTCATTTTTTCAATTTATCATTCCTAGGTGTTCAGTCTGAGTTTTGATAATTGTGCTTTGTCTTCCTTTTGTGAACAACTTAGTACAGTATCTGTAACTTCATTTTCTTTCTGTATGATGGAGCCAAGACCTTACAAAAATTTATTTCAATAAACAGCCCTGAGTTCCTCATAAAGATGCTGAATCTGACAGCCCAGGTATCACCTTGTGACAATACTTACTAAAATAAAGTGATACTAGCTGTGTATACTATACAGTTTTCACCCTGGTGTGAAACTAATCTCTTCGTGTTTGTTCCAGAGACAGATGGTCCCTGTCTTCATTGTCCCTGGTCCCCAGTGGACCAACATGTCTGTCTTCGAGTCATTTTAAACAGCTCCAATGATAGCCCTGAGAAAATGCATGGGATGTGTTTTCACTTTGTGTACTTTAAAAACAAGATCCGTGCAATCTGTTTTGAGGCAAAAAAAAAAAAAAAATGGATCATGATGGTGAAAATACAAATGGTCCATCTAGAAAAATAACACTGCAGTAAGATTCTCCTCACTGGGTCAGGGACATAGAGTACCTTAAGCACATGACAGCGACTTATACGACTTCTCTCAAGCATGACAGATATTTATATCTGTGGTTCCTGTTTTGATCCTGGCAGGTAGATGAGCTCTATGAAGCCTACTGTATCCAGCGACGCCTCCAAGATGGTGCCAGCAAGATGAAGCAAGCCTTTGCTATGTCCCCTGCCAGCAAAGCTGCCCGCGAAAGTCTGTCTGAGATCAATCGGAGCCACAAGGAGTACACGGAGGTATGGCCTTCCCCTCTCTGCCCGGACCCCAACCCCGCCGGATCTGATTTGTGGGTCACTGCCATGACCAGCATCCTGCAACCTCATTCCACTCTCTAGAGAGATCGTGTTATTGTCAATCTCAAAAACAAACAAAACCGCAAGTGAATCAACCACTGAAACTGTTCAAAATAAGCCACAGTGCTGATTTTTGTCACTTGAATGTGTTTCTAAATATTCTAGCATATAGTCCATAGAAGCATCTTTACCCCTGGAGATTGAGCAGACCCTGTGGATTGCTGCTGGATATCAATAACCCCTGCCTAGGATTTTTTTGTATATATGAAAAACTTTTAAAGGAGACAAGATAACGAACCATGAGCAGAAGTGTGCTTTCCTGGGCCAGGGATATAGCTCAGTGGCACAGCGCCTGCCTGGCAAGCACAAGGTCCTGAGTTTGATTCCCAGTACCAAAAAATAAAAAACAAGAAACAGATTGGTTTCTGAACATTTTCCTGATTGGTTTTCCTAGTTTCTGAAGGTTTCTGGCCCCCACATCTGACACAGGGAGGTCTCCATCCCTCCTGGGGTCACCTAATACCCCTGTCTTTGGTGAAGTGCCTGAATTATTAAAGCTGCACTTCTCCCCATCCCCTGAGTCTTTATTCAGACATCAGATTTCATGAATGAAGTCATCAGCCTGTCAAGGGCTTGCTGAACAATTCCGAGAGCTGAGGTCCTGCTCCAGGGTCGCTTTGTGAGCCCTGGCTTTCTCTCTTCACAACCTAAGACAGGGCTTTTCTTTACCTAACTTTCCTGTTTAGAATAATGTTGTGTTGGTGTTTGTTTTGTGACAGTAGGGATAGAACCCTGGGTCACTCTACCTTTGGGCCACACGCCCAGTCTTTTTAATAATTGTTTTGTCTTTTGGGAGACAGGGTCTCAATAAGTTGCCTAGGCTAGACTCCAACTCGGAATCCTCCTGCTTCAGCCTCCCATGCAGCTGGGAGTATAGACATCCACCACCACACCTGGCTCAGAATAATGATTTAAGGAAAAAAATATGTATTATAGTACAATAATCTTCACATTATCGCTACGTTTGTCAAAATATTTTAAAAATTCATTGTGTGAGAGAGTACCATGCTACTGCCTAATTAACATACCACATTACAAAATCCATACTAAAATTTCAAATCAATTCAAATGTGAAAGATTTTCTTGAGTTCTCTGCAACCACCAATATGACATGAAGGTGTGATTGCTAGCAGTATTAACGTCACAGGTGTTACTGAGATTGCTCTAGCTTGTTTTCTACACTCAGAAGAAGCCAGCGAAACTAAGGCTGTGACTCTTGCTATTGCCACCCCATCCATGTGTGCGGATCCAAAGGTTAAGTCCTATGTCATGAGTCCTCATTCGAACAGGTCTCTGAACATAAGAGCAGTTTCTAGTTAAAAAGGCTGCTCATAGGGGAGCAGATGACTGACCCACAGCCTGCAGCAGCTGCCTGAGCTGAGACATTCTCAGGTCCCTTCAGAAAGAGCCACCCTGGTCAGGTGCCAAGGCCTGGCATTGTGCATCTGCTCAGAAACTCAAGGATATAGCACAGTTTCACCAAGAGGAAGGCTGCCTCCGAATGGAAAGACAGCCAGGGCTTCCGCAGCTTTCTCTCTCACCTGACTTCAGGGAGTGTCCTGTGATCACATAACCACCATGAAAAGGATGGTTTTACCACAAGGAGGGCTGGACAGGATAGCTCAGGTATTTTTGCAAGGTAGCAGTGCCCAGCAATGGTTGCAGAGGTGAGAAGAAAGAACATCTGACTGTGGGCATTTTCAGCTGTTAACCTCACGGCCCACCCCCAAGGTTTTCAAAGACCCTGGAAGTCACCCTCACATCGGGTAACAGGGTGTTTCTAGAAACTGTTCCTTCACAGAGGAACTCAAGGCCCTGGGGAGAAAATTGGTTTACAATGCTGAGCCTTTGTTTTCTACGCTTTTAAACTGCTCAGCACTCAGGCTTTGAGATGAGTCCCTGGTTTTACCAAGCTGTTTGGAGCACAGAAGCTTTTGCTCTCCCTGTATCCCATAGGAGTAATCATTCAGAGCAGAACAAAGGAAAAGGTAAGAATCAGAGCCTCTGGCCCTACAGATCCATCCCAAAGTCCTCAGCATACAGGATTCAAGTGGAAGCAAAACCTGTCAACACTCACTGAGTGGCCATGCTTATGTCACACTATCACCAAGGCCACCCCCACGCCCCAGCCTTGATGAGGCCAGCTACCACGGGAGCAGCTGCAAATGCCCCCCAGGGCTGTGGTAGAACTGCTGCATCAAGTGGCTGAGGCGGCATCAGAGCTCACCCTGGCCAGGCTGCAGGAGGCCTTGCTGGGTCAGCTGGCCACAGGCTGCAGCACGTCAGGTCTCAGCACTGATTGCTCTAATTAGGTCCTCAGATTCTGGGAGAGGGACGGTATCATGGAGGGGTTCCTTCCGCTTGTCCTGCTCACTCAGTGTTAGAGTGAGGAGAGGACCCTGTCAGACCCAGGAATCCTTTGTGCAGTTTGTGGTTTTGCAGCAGGGACTCTGTCGCATCCATTCCAGCAGAATTGATCTCCTGTGCCTTTTTTTGCCCCAAATTTGTATTTAGAAGCATTTCAAACTGACAGAAGAGTTGAAAGACAAAATGCTGAATACCAGGCACCTTTATCTAGATTTACCCATTGGTAGCATTTGGCCGTATTTGCTTTTCCTGCCTCTCACGTAATAATCTTTTCTTCTGAGTCATTTGATAATAATGTAGTAGATGTCATGACATTTTACCCCATCCACATTTTAGCATGGATCTCTTCAATTTATTTTTTAAATTTACAAGTGAAAATTGTATATGTCTGGGGCATAGCACATGCTGTACTGAGATACACATGCACTGGAGAATAGCTCACTCAGGCTCGTAAACACAGAGAAGATCTCTGAATAGTAACCTAGGTAACAGGTGCATCTTCAGCATAACCGCATGCCATTATCAGGACTAAGAAAACAGTCCTGTACAAGCACCTAGTATTGTATCCACTTTCAAATTTCTTCTTAGCACCAATGCCTGTTATAACTATTTTAGATTGTTTGTCTTTCAAAGCAGGACATAACCAAGGTTAAGTGTTACATTTGATCGTCATGTCCCTGTAATCTTTTCAGTTTTGTTTTTGTCTTTGAGGTGGTTTTTTGGTTGGTTTTTGGTTGGGTTTTGGTTGTTTGTTTGTTTTGTGGTGCTGAGGGCTGAACTCAGGCCTTTGCACATGCTAGGCAAGTGCTCTCCCACAGCAGTACATCCCTAGCCCTTTTTTGTTGTTGTTGTTGTTGTTGTTGTTTTCTGTTTTGAAACAGGCTCTTGCTAGATTGCCTGGGCTGGCCTTGAATTTGTGATCCTCCTGCCTTAGCCTCTATGTACCTCAGATTACCAGCCTATACCATTGTGTCTGGCTATCCAGAATTTTTCCCCCATGTTGTTACCTTTTTAAAGAGCCCAGTCTGTTTCTTCCAGAATATTGCCATGGTCTGGATTTGTCTATTTTGGATATAGCTTAACCCATTTGTGCAATGGGTTAAACGTTTTGTCCACAGCGTCTCAAAGGCCAAGTCATACAGCTCACTGAAAACAAGTAAATGGCTCCTATCACCCATGTAGTGGCTGCTGTCACTGTTAAAGTGTCCTGTGCATTGGGCCAGCGTGCGAAAGAAGCTCTCATGCTTGTTCCGGGGTCTCTTCACAGAACATGTGCACCATCGAAGCGGAGCTGGAGAACTTGCTGGGGGAATTCTCCATCAAGATGAAAGGTAATTTTTCCCCACTGACAGAGTCCGGAACCATCTCTCTGAGCTCTGTGAAGTTTGACAGCAGTGCCACTTTGATTCTCCTTGCAAAGATAATGCTGCCCCTTCTGAGCCCTCCCCCTACTGGTATTTTGATGCTTCTCATCCTGAGTCTGACTTTCTCACTTAAAACATGTCCTTATTACGGGAGACTCTCAAACATTCACAGAAGCAGAGAGAACATGCCCATCAACCCCAGAATCCTGTCGTTTGGATTCGGTAATTAGCAAGATTTTGCCACATTTGCCTGCCTTCCCTTCATTTTTCCTTGGATGAAAGAGAAATCCTTTGATGAAATCAGACCCAGTTATGTCAGCCCGGCGCTGGGTCCTTCAGCACCCATCTCCTCCTAGGCTGGCTCTGTATCTCAGTTCCGTCACAATACTGCATCTAACAAGGCGAGCACACATTTGTTATTAACCTATTCCATTATGCAATTTCCTAGCCGGCTCACAAGCCCTTTGTACAGTTGTTTGTTTAGGATGCAAACAAGGTCCATGCAATATGATGAGCTGTCCCTTATATCGCAGAGGTTTCCTTTCATCTGAAGCGAGCTCCCCCACTCGGTCCTACCGCTGTGTAGAAACCACTGCCGGCAGCATCTGTCCTATTTGATGTGTGCCTTGGCCTCCTTGAGGTGTCATCGAAATTGTCCCTTTATTATCAGGTTTCTATAAACTACCTACCAGATTCATTTGCTTTCTAGTCTTCAGATTCATTTGCTTTCTAGTCTTGGTGTTAAATCCACAGGTGATTGTGCCTTTTGGGTATTCATTCCAGAAAGTTCCAATCTGGAAGCACTGTTGATTTATACAACAGCATCTTCAGCACACACAGGAAGTCTGCTTTGAGAAAAGGAGTTTTGCTCTGGTGTAGTCGAATTTACAGCTCTGTGGCTGGCAGGGCCGGTGAATGAGCAGCCACCGGAGGTTGGGGGCCACCCTCTTCTCTCCCAAGTTCTGCCCATTTGACCGCAGCCCGGAGGGGTGGTGCTTTTCTTTGCTTTTTTTTTTTTTTTGGCTGAGGTTTTTAGCCGCTTAATCCCTGGGTTACTAATGGGGATTTAATCACCCTGTTGTCTACCTTCTGCAATTAAGGGAGTAGAGGGAGACTTCTGAAAGTGCTCAGCAGGAGAGCTTCATTTTTAAATGAGTCATCTAACTCAGAGCGAAATTACTGTGCGAGACACCCGAGAGCCTCTGGGTAAGAAGGGCCTTGACCCCGGTTCCCAGCAGCCCGCCCTGGCCTCCAGGGCGTCTGTAGCAGGTCTCCTATTCTGTGCACTCGCTGCCTACCTTACTTCTGAGTTGAGCACCTAGGCCTTTTCAATTTTTTAGGGTCATTCACCTTCTTTTGTGTCCTCACTTAAGTCCATGGTTCAAAACTCCTCAGCCCCTCACCTCCCAGCCGCTCAGAGTCCACAGAGGCAGGCTGGGCCCCAGGATGCAGGTTCAGGCAGCCGGATTCAGAGGACGAGGCTCAGGCACAGCCCATGCACACTAGCCCGATCTTGAAGACTTGTGGCCTAAGAGAAATTCAGGTCACACATGTTGCTGCTGATAGAAGGAGGCCCATGTCCCCCCTATCTCTCACATTTTTCAGCAGAGTGATAATTCCTCCATCTCACAGATGGGAAGTAACAGAGTAAGTTGGTGTCAAACTTGAACTGAATTCTCAGGCTTTTGGTGCCTAACACACTCCCCTTAGCCCCACATTAAGAGGATGTTTCCCCAGCCGAGCAGACCCTGACAGGATGGCCTCACACAGCCACCCCAGAAATGGGCAAGGAAAGGGGCCACTGCCCACCCTGGCTAAGCCTGGGCTGCTGGGGCTGAGGGGACGGTGTTGGGGCCCTGCTGGGGCAGGCACAGGGCCTGTCCTGGTGGACCAGGACACATTGCTCCTCCTGAACCCCTCTCTCTTTCACTTGCTTTTCCTTATCTGCTTCCTCAGCTTCCCCTAAACTCAGGGTCTCAGAGTGGGGAGACCCCAGACGGATTCTCTTCACTGATGGACCTCCGTCACCTCCGCTTGCCTAATCTAACAAAAAAATTCAGAAACTACACTGTGCTGCCTTCCAGGGGTAACCCCCGCCCCAGGGAAATCCTCTCTCTCTCCCAAAGGGAAAGGAAAGCCCTCTCTGGCTGCCAAGAAATCCCAGATCTTTGCCGTTAGCTGCCTGCTGCTCTCTTACTCATTCTGGTAAAAACAACTTCCCCCAACATACATAGGGGCAAACTGAGACTGTTTCACCACCTGCTCAGACCTGCCAGGTCCTGACTTCCTCCCACCACGCCTTTCTACACTTCCGTTTTTGCCCCACTCCTTTCACCACCACCCCCACAGGACAGCTTGAGGGTGGGCAGGAACAATGGTAAAGACAGTGGAGCCAGTGCTGACCAAGCACCTGGCCTGCCCTGCATGAGGTTGCCTCTTGATGAAAGCTGGGCCTTGCGTTCCACTCATCCTGCTGGGAAATGTGAACATATAGGAGGTGATCAAAAAATATGTGGAATGTTTAAAAATGAATTACAGTAAAAGACACATTGTCAGTAATGCCTCTCCGAACACTCCCCTCACTTCAGTCACACTTATCCCATTGTTCTCGCTACTTTCTGAAGCAGTTCTGGAAGTCCTCTTTCATGAGGGTCTTTACAAGGTATGATTAAAAAATATAACAAATGTGACAGCCTAGTGCCATTCAGGGGAAAGACAGCTTCATAAAAACATGACAGCGGGTCCTCGTCCACCTTGCTCGCCACTGGATCTGGCACCCTGAGCTTCCTGGCTCTTCCCCAACGTCAGAATGACCACGGAATGGATTCAGGAATCAGAGGCAGTCACAACACTCACAAAAAAAGACTTCCAGAAGTGCTTCAGAAAGTGGCAAGAATGGTGGGGTACGTGGATTAGAAGAGAAGAGGAGTATTTTGAGGGGAACCCATGGTAATATGTCTTTCACTGTAATAATTTTTTTTTAAATATCAACATTCACCATATCTTTCAACTAGAGCTCATATGAGCCAGTGCATCCTAAGCACATGGACTCAGTGACCAGCTGGACCATAGCAAGACGCAGTAGCTGCAGAAGCCTAAAGACAGAGGAGAAAGCTCCACTCACTGCTGGAGAGCAGAGAGCCGGAGGGAGGGAGGCCTCCCCCGTACACGGAGAACTCCAGGCCGGAGCAGCATTCAGCAGAGGGAAAGCAATGATGTTGGGTAGACTGGTGTGGCAGAGTGCTCCTGGGGAGATGAGCTGTGGAGAGCTGTTTCTGAGAAGCCTGGAAGGCTCACTAGAGAGAGCTTTGGAACTGCGGCAGTGAGGCAGGAAGGAGCTAGAGAGATATAGTCCTTTAGGGAAAACTGGTTTTCTTCCCAATTACTACTTCACTCAAATTAAGTTCCAGGCATGTGTAGGTGTAGCAGTTCATGCTGGCCCTGGTTTAGGGCAAGGCAGGCCGGAAGTGAGCTAGAAAGCCTGCATTATTTATGCCCAAGCAATGAATGGTAAGGCCTGTAACTGGAGCCCCCACTGTCAGCTACCTGGCTCTTTTTCTTAGAGCAGGAAGTGATTCTTAAGAAGGAAAACCGTGGTAGAACTGGGTGTGGGGTGGAAAACACTCCTCTGGAAGATTGTCTGAGCCCAGGAAGACACAGGGGAGGGCCACATGTGCAGCTCTTGGCCTTCAGTTGTCATGGGAAGAGCTAGTCTGTCCGTATGTAAGCAGAGGTGCCAGAGGGTGCGCCATGGATACAAAAGTCCCTTCACCCCATGGCGGCCCTGCACCGTCCTTCAGAGGCAGTCCCCGGGTGGCTGTGAGTGGTCACCATGAACTCTTCCTCAATCAGGCAGCAGAACTCACCAAACCCCTAAGAAAATACTTGCTTTTCCCCACTGCTGAAACACCAGCAGGCCCTGGAGCAGAGCCTGAAAGAACCCACCAGGCAGAGACTGTCTGTAGCCACCATCACCCACTATCAGCACCCACTCTGGTACACAGCTTTCAGAACCCGGTGTGAGAGCTAGTTTTGCCCAGCTGGTACCATTTTGCTACATTATTGTTATAACCCGAGAATCCAAGATGCTCCTGCAAACAGTTCCAAGCACTTTAATAACATGGATTCACAAGCTCAAAAAAAAAAAAAAAAACACAAAAAAAAACCACAGCATGTACCTTTCTCCCAACCAGTTAAGTTCTTCAGATGTGAAATCTCTGATAATTTTGAAAGAAGGAAACAAAAAACCCTCCCCCGACTCTCCCCTCCTTCCTCTAGCAATGATGCCAGGCCAGTTTCTTTTTAGCCAAGCTCCCATTGTAATTGCACAGGTAAACAGGCAATGGATTAATCCCAAACTAATCTGCAGGTCTTCAAAGAGCACTTTAGATTTGATTAGAATTAACATGTCAAGCTTTGGATTTATAAAAGCCAGCCAATTATGCTTTCTTTCAGAAGTATTTTTTTAAAAGACTAAATGTCCCAGAACTCTTAGTGAAAATAGGTTTAATTCTGCTCTTCTTTCAGTAAGTACCCTTAAGTGGCTTGTTAAGGTCCAATTATTAGAGAAAGGTGTTCCTAAACGGACCGGCTGGTGGGCAGAAAGCATGAGGACCTGGTGATGTGCTGCCACCTTCTGGCCATTAATGGTAATGGCGGGTACCTTGGGCAATACGCTGGTCCTGTTCCCAGGTCTTCACCCCAGGGGAGCCCATCAGCCGGGTGGGAAGTGGATAGTTCATCCGAGCGTCACAGCGTATTAATCAGGCTCTCTGTAGAAGCCACACGCATTGTGTGACACCATCACCATCATCTTGACCTGAGTAGAATCATGTTTAATTTAAAAACAGCCTAGAACTTGAAGATTATAAATGGGGACTTGCAGAGGCCGAGGAATCAGGGATCAGCTTGCCCTTTGGGTGTGGTTCTGTGGAGAAATCTAAGAACCACAGAGCGGTTTTTGTACCAGCTCCTCTAAATCATTTCCTCCCAGGCTGGTTTCCTCTACCAAATCACTGGGCAAACAGAGAAGGATTGTCTGTGTCTTCTTGAATCTCCACTTTAGCATTTTGAAAGTGGTAGCTTGTCATCTCTCAAACACTGAGAAATTCACCGCCAAGGGGAGATCATACAGAATTGCTCCACCCGGTGCAAACCTCTGATAAAATCATTGTAAATATGAAGTCAGTCTTTATGCAATGTTTGTGCTGCCTGCCAACATATTATGATCTTTTTACATCTTTTTTCTTTTTTACAACAAGTTAATTACACGATCTTTTAAAAACGCAAATAGAAATTATAACTTAATGTCAAAATTGTAACTTTCTTTGCTATTCCACTCTGCCAGAGATAATTATTTTTAACAGTTAGGCAGGTATTTTTTTAGAAATTGTTCCTGTGGATACATTTACATTTAGTTAAGGTCATATTCTGCACATGGACTTGTAGCCTGCTTTATTTTTTCAAATATTTCATTATAAATACTGTTTTTCATTAAATGTTCACAGCTATGTTGAACTGGTTTTTTTTTGTTTGTTTGTTTGTTTTTTTTGTAATCCAGGCTGGTCTTAAACTCACTATATAGCCCTGATTGGCCTCAAACTCATAGCAATCCTCCTGCCTCAGCCTCCCAAGTGCTGGAATTACGGGTGTACCCCACCAGGCCCAGCCTTATGTCGAAGTTTTAACTGGAATTTTATCATACAATTTTATTGTTTTTTGTCAGAAAGTTAAAAAGTGATAAAGATTTCTGTGTGTTATATTAAATTGGTTTAGTTCCTCGATGAACATTTTGAACCTCTGGGTGCCTATGAACGTAAAAGGCTTTGCTTTGTGATTGGCACAGAAATAACCCAATAAATTCAGATTAAATTAAGATAGATTACAGCGGAGCCCTGGTAGAGGAGCCAGATTCCCTGTATTTGTGATATATACGTGACATCCATGCTGTCTTTCCACACAGTGGGCATTAACAAATACTCTTGAGGGGCCGAGATGCAGCTCAGCGGCAGAGCACTTGCCTAGCATGCGTGAGCCCTGGGCTCCGTTCCCCGCACCACCACCACGGTGACTGGATACACACACGCCCTTGTTCATCCCGGTGGTCTCTGCAGCAATGCCCTCCTTAATCTGCGATGAAATTCTGTGGTGCAAATGCTACTTGCTTCCCCAAGTGAGAGGCTGTGTGTGTCTTAGTTGTTATCATTATGTGAGGAACACATGCTCCTAGAAAGACTGCTATCCACCGCTGTCCCCTCCTTGGAGGAAGTCAACATGCTGTGCCTCGTTGCAGAGGACACGTCTGCTAAATGAATCACGCACGGCACATGCTTGGTGCACAGTTTTCCCCACTCCCAGATGTCTGACCGTTACCATGCTCTGAGTACCTCCTGTGTGCCAGATGCCAGCTACCGTCCTTAAGTCAGTTCCCCACGGGGGACGTTGTTATCCTCACTGTTAGAAGGAGAAGCTGGGCTGAGGACGTCATCTAGACAGGGCAGCTGACGGGTGGAAAGGAGGCTCAGCTTTATCTCCAGTTTATGCCCTCAGGTCCTTGTCTGCCTCGTTCCCCTGGGCTTTAACCATATTTCATTCTATACTGTGGGCATCTGTGAAATCTTCCTTAATTTCTAAATTGTTGACCCCTCTGCCTAGCATAAATCCTCACACCATGGCTCTCAGTAAATATGCACAGGGATGGGAAGAAAGGAAAACACTGACCAATGTCTGGCTGGGTAGTCTGTCAAGATTTGTTTTTGCTGTGACACCAGAAAGATTTTAGACCAGCTCTCAGACTGAGCAGTTCTACTTAGAAACAACTTGCTAAGACTTCCTTTTGCGGCTGCAGGTGGTTATCAATTCATTGGTTGGTTGGCTGGTTGGTTTGGTTTGGTTTGGTTTGGTTTGGTTTGGTTTGGTTTGGTTTGGTTTGGTTTGGTCTGGTTTGGTTTCTTAATCACAAGTTTTGTGCAAATGATAATCAGTTTGCAGCAGTTTCCTGGCACAGTAGATAGTGGTAGCATTAGGGCAGGTGGGAAGGGTGAGGAAGACACGGGTGCGGGGGTTGGGAGAGGCAGCAGGGAAGAGGACAGCGACTCCTCACTTAAACAAGAGTCACTTCAAAAGCACAAACCTGGGACGGAAAGAAAAAAGAGACCAGTTTGTTCCTGGGCCCTGATCCTGGCATCTGCCAAAGGCACACAGAGCTCTATTTTACCCTCTGATGAGCAGCCCCCTGTGGCACAGAAGTCCCCTGCTATTGTCCATCCATCGGGAATGAACGTCCTCCCAAGCAGCAGAGGTGACATTTCCCACAGATGGCCCATCAGCTGTCACCTGAGTTTCCCCAGAAGCTGACACTTCGCTGGGATCCTTTCAGTGGGCCAGGGCTGGCTGCTAAAGAGGGTAATGCGCTGTGCTCCTCACGTCTCATTGCTTGTTTGCAGGTCTGGCTGGCTTTGCTCGCCTCTGCCCTGGAGATCAGTATGAGGTAAGCGCTGGGCTGCGTGCGTTGTTGGGATGAGGACTTCAAGGGCCCTGGGCAGTTGTCATTGTCTTGCTTCTTACATTGCCTTTTCTTTTGCTTTTAATGTGGTGCTAGGGACCAAACCCAGGGCCTCATCCATGTAAGGCAAGAGCTCTACCACCGAGCCACATCCCCAGCCCTTACATTGCTTGTTCTTTTAAAGACACCTTAAGCCAATGAGGAAGTCTGGAGATTAATCCAAGACCTCCTTATACCGTTCACCTGCATTCCCCACTTTTTGACATGCGCACAGTTGCTTTGTGATGATTAGCACGGTGGTGCTATTCTGCCGGACGTGTGTGAGTGAGATGCAGGCGCTGTGACCCTCACCCCAAGTTCTCCTCCCAACAACGCAAGGGTCTGCTCTCTCAGAAGCGTTGCACGCTTCCCCACCAGTATGTGTACCATGGGTGCTCCAGATCAGGTCGCTGACACAGCTGACCTTCACACTTTGCCAAGTGTCCCCGTATTGTACTTTATGGTAAATTTTTTTGATCCAATCTAGGATCACAACGATCCTAAGTTCTGTGTCCAAAGAATAATAACATCTAGATCTTCTAGATCTTTCTTTATTCAAATGTACTCCATAAAGTTTAAAAAAAAAAAAAAAGGCCTTTTGTCCTTCCCCCTTCAAAAGGGAACTCGCGTAATCATTTCATCTGTCTTTTCCAAGCCTTCTGCCGTCGTGAAGGCTGTCTGTACCGCTCTCCCCAGACCATGTGGGGTTTCAGCGCCTCAGACCCAGGGACAATGTCTTCATTTCATTTCCTTTGTTTTTTTTTAATAAAAGATAATTTTTTTTCAAATTATATTTTTTGGGTTTTTTTCCCACTCCTCTACCCTCCCTTCAATCCTTTCACTCCTCCCCATTTACAACAGTCCTTGCTACTGAGTGCTACGTGGGTTTTAGTCATGGTTTCTTTCCTCTCTGAACAGCTGCGGTCTGTGAAGAATCGGTCCCCAGGGCAGTTCTGTCATGTAGAACTAAAAAGAGAGAGATGCGTTCAGAAAGGCGGGATGTGATGCCCACTCCCTAGAGAATCCCTCCGCGGGCTCTTTCTTACGCCTTTTTCCATGGACCCTGCACCCTGCCACAAAGCCAGAACAGGACGGGCGTGTGGGGTGATCAGGGAGGGGGAGGCGCAGCTCACTGGCTCACTGTGATCCTGGGACGTGGGAAGGGGAGGTGGGGACGTGAGGGCTGTCTGCTGTCTCCTCCAGATTTTCATGAAGTATGGCCGGCAGAGGTGGAAATTGAAAGGCAAAATAGAAGTCAATGGCAAGCAGAGCTGGGACGGAGAAGAGATGGTTTTCCTGCCGCTGATCGTTGGGTTCATTTCCATCAAGGTACAGTGTTGTTGCCTTTCTGGGCATGGCAGCCAGTGACCCATCGGCAGCGGGACTGCACGCTGGGCTTTTGAACCTCCACTTCTGACTCTTTCAGCTGTGACTCAAAGCACCCAACTGGCTAAGAAAGAAAAAGGCCAGAATCTCCTCCTTTCTCCACCAGGTCACAGAGCTCAAGGGGCTAGCGACGCACATCCTAGTGGGCAGTGTGACCTGTGAGACCAAAGAGCTGTTTGCAGCCCGCCCACAGGTGGTGGCTGTGGACATCAACGACCTTGGCACCATCAAACTGAACCTGGAAATCACCTGGTAGTAAGTGGCCCTTGTCACATTCCTCATGGAGAAATGTGTACTAGTGTGTTCATAGCTGGGGCTGGGCCATGAGCTCAGCTTGGGAGCTGTCCCAGCTGCAGGGTGTCAGGCCGCACCTGACCTGTGGCACCACCCTCTCGGTCCCAGAGTCTATGGAGCAAACTTGTCAGGTGGCACCAGGTGTGCAAAGGACAAAGTCAGAGACTTGGGGCTCACCCACACTTCTGCTTCTTTCAAATAGTATTCTGCCTCTTTTCCCTCTTTACCTGTAAAATATGTTTGTGTGTGTGTGTGTGTGTGTGTGTGTGTGTGTGTGTGTATAATACACCCCTCAAGTAAATTAATGCAAAGGAAAATGAATAACATGACGTATTTTACTCTCCGAAAGATCCTGCTTCTTGCTATGGTGCTTTAATTGCTTATCCCTCCTTATTTCATATACTTCACACTGATACAGAAAATTGCAAATATCCTTAACTTTTTTATACTCCATTGACAGAAATGTGCTATTTCCAAAGTTATCTTTTGTGTGAATTTAAAATGGTTTTCCAAATTGACCCTGTGGGAAAGATCATGATGGGTATCAGCACTGGTAGCTCACAACACTTGATATTATGCCCCTGGTAATGATATTACTAAATAAATGTGATGAATCGATACTCACATTCAGTGCCTCTATTTTAAATGTGAGTCAGATGTGGAAATGGCAGAAGCCGGGCTGGGGATTTAGCTCAGCGGCAAAAGCGCCTGCCTGGCAAGCGCAAGGTCATGGGTTCCGTTCCCGGTACCGGAGAAAAACCAAAAAAAAAAGAAATGGCAGAAGCCCTGTCTTAGTTACTTCCTTGTTGCTGGGACAAATTCAAAACACCCAACGTTTAAAAGGAAAGGTTTATTTTGGCTCAATTTGTAGAGGTTTCAGCCCATAGCAGCTCCAAGGCAGGGCAGCATGGCAGAAAAGAAGCAGTCCATGGCAGGGCAGGCAGGAGGCAGCAGCAGCAAGCCTCTTTTTCCTTTTTTATTCCTTCCAGGCTACAAGCCTATTGGTTGGTGCCACTCACATCCAGGGGGGGTCTTCCCTCTTCAATAAATCCATCATCCACACCCAGAACCATACTAAGCCAATCAGTGGACTAATCCAGTGTCACATAGCCAGGATCTAGTCACTCCCAAATGCCCCACCTATGAGCACGTGTGGCTTTGGAGGGGAGGACTTCTAGATAACAAGCCATAGTAGGCCCTATCACTTTGTCATTGGCATAGTGTCAGCACCTCTACCTGGCCCTGGCAAGGTTATTCTTCTTGAATCTGATATTAAGATATTATCAGCAGCCAGGTATGGTGGTGCACACCTATAATACCAACACTCTGGGAGGCTGAGGCAGGAGGATTGCAAGATCCAGCCCAACCAGGAATACTTAGTGATTTGGAAAAACCTTGTCTCAACTGTTTAAAAAAGTGAGTTGGGGCTGGGGATGTAGCTTAATGTGAAGGCCCTGGGATGAATACTTAGTACTGCACAAACATACATACAATAAAATATGTTATTGGTCTCACTGTGAATAGAATATTACTCTCCATGCAGCAGGCCCTTTCAACTGAAATGAATAGGATGTTATTTTAGAAGAATCTGCTAATCACTTGTATTGTTCAAGTGTCAAGCCCAACAAAGCTCAAAGAATTTTTACAGACTTCTAGCATCCTGTTATGTCATGGCAAGCACTGCTGTGTTTATATTTCTAATATTCACAAGAAGGCAGACACATCTAGGTGTAGAGATAGACTGTGCTGCAAGCTGTGATAATCTGTGGTCCCTTGGGTGGGTCTGGATTCAGCCTTCTGTTCCACTATCTTTTCTCTTGATTTATTTTCTGACAAGCTAATTTAACCGAAATTCACCCAATTCCTACTGGTTTGCATGGACTTTAGCACAATTTGGTGCTTCCTTGGTCTGTGGGCTGCAGGCTGGTGATTATAGGGGATGCTAACAGACGTGACACCTGGGGACCTATTGTTTTGCAGTCCGTTTGACGTGGAGGATATGACCCCATCTTCGGGAGCTGGGAACAAGGCGGCGGCGCTACAGAGGAGGATGTCCATGTACAGCCAGGGCATGCCAGAGACACCCACCTTCAAAGACCACGCATTCTTTGTAAGTTCACTGTGATTTCCGGGATGGACACCAGGAGCCCGAGCTAGGGACTGTGTCCTCCATTTGAGATGCTTTACAGCCAGGGTGAGGGATTCCCTAAAATTCCTAATACTGTAGTGAGATTCTCAAAAGTCGCCCTGATCAAATGGTGACCCAGGGAGCCGGCACTCAGAGGCAGCCCTGTGCATCTACAAGGGAACCTCCTCTGTCTCTCCTGGGCCCTCACCCTTCTGTTCCTGTTGCTGTGTAATGACAAAAGCTCTCTAAGGTTAGCCTTTTCTAGAAATAGGTATCTAAGTCAGGGCCTCCTTATTTGCACTGGACATGCAGAACCTGATAACCTGATTCTTTCCACTAACTCCTCTGTCTTGCCTTCTGAAGAGATGGTTGCTTCCTTCACCAGACAAGCCAAGGCGGCTGTCTGTCTTGAGTGCCTTGCGAGACACTGTCTTTGCCAAGCCGCACGGCGGCCGCTCTGTCGGTGACCTGCCCTCCCTTGGCCTGAGCCCCAGGGCCGTGCTAGAGTTCTATGTGAGTGTAGCCCGCCCGTGTGATGTGCTGGACTCCGGGGGCGGGGGCATGCCTGCTTCAGCATGTCTCTTGCTTGCTCGACTTCTCTGTCCTCCGCTCCGGGTAGTGGTGGCCACTGTCCTGTCCCTTGGGAGGGAACTTGGCCGTGCATGCTCCCTCTTGCCCTTCTCTTCCCACCAGCCTTGTTTTTGTGCTGTGGTTCTTTTTCTGCTCTGTGGCCAAGATATCCATGGCAACAAGACTTTTGTTGTTTAAAAAAAAAAAAAACACTTACCCATAAGAACAAAGGAGATTTAATTTCAGAAGGTAACTAGTTTATCACTGATAGCAGCCTTTCAAAAACTGGTACTCAGGGGGCTCAGAAGAATTAAACTAATTTCACTAGAGCTGTTTCTCTTTTTTAAACAAAGTTGTAAGTCTTAGTTTACTGTACCCTTTTATTCTTTAATGCCCTAGTAAAATAAACCCTATAACTCATAGGAATATACCAGTGCATGTATATGAATTATAATTATGCACACATATATGCAGTATTCTGCATTCTCAGACTCATAGAAGTCACCTTTGAATATTCAGAGAGCTAAAAGCTAAAAGCCTTCTAATTAATGATAATAATAATTGCATGTTCTTTACTAAATTTGAAAACACACAGGAAAAGGACAAAGCTAAACTCTAGTGGAGTTTCAAGGGAACATAAGAGGTCCGCATAGGGGAAAAATACTTGAAAACATGTACTAAAAAGCAGTAATGCTAATACAATGGTGCCTGACTTGTAACTAACAATGTATTCATGCTCCCATGCCACAAGCTGGAGGGCTATGGAGGAGAGTTGGTAGAGGTCTAATAGCATATTTAACTGAAAGCACTATTAGGAAAAAGCTTGATGGGTCCTTATCACCTTCCAGGAGAACACAGAGACCCCAGAGCAGCCATTCCTATCTGCCCCCAGCCTGCCCCTCCAGGCCCACCTCCAACCTCCCACTCCCCCTGCATCAGCCCACTGTCCCCCAAATGTATCTCATCCTTTCAGGGTCTCCTATCTTTGCATACACTGTTCCTTCAAGAACGTGCTCTGGCGGGGGTATAGCTCAGTGGTAGAGCACTTGGCCAGTGTATGCAAACCCTGATTTCCATCCCCAGCACTGCAGAGAAAAACATAAAGGTCGAGCATGCTTCTTCCTCCTCTTTCTGTCCTCTGCCCCTCTATCCTCCAAGACTGGGTTATGGGACTGCCTCTTTCTCAGGAGCATCTCTGCCCTTGCTGGGGCCCTTATCCAAGACATTATACTTGACTCCCAAGATGCATTCTATCAATCCAGGTAAAGAGCAAAGAAGAATGATGTTTATCTGAGGCTTATTAGGATCATAATACTCAGATACAGAATTCAGGCAGGATGTCCAAGGTCTTATAAGATGGTGACTGTTTTTCCACCTTACACTGCAAGGGGAGGTGTTACTTACATGTCCTGTGCATCCAAAATTGTGTTTGATGCTATTAAAGTCAAACTGTGTGGTACAAAATAGATTACAGTGTCAGGAAGCAGGGGGAATAGCCTCACATGCTGTCACAAGGGCTGGTGGATTTCATTCCAGAACTTTCCAGCTGGGCCAGTTCACAAAGGTCAGCACATATAGGCAGGAAGTACAGACAGCATCATTCAGGTCCCCTGTACAGGAGTGGAAGCTGATGTCCCAGGGCCACTTTCATCCTAAGTGGCCTGAGTCTGCTGTGACTTTCTTCTTGACAGTTCCCTTGTGCTGTTTCTTCCTGTCAATGGACTCCAAGCCCCCTGGGGCAGGGCATCTGAACTCAGTCCTACTCAATCTCTGCCACATGGAAGCAGGTGCTAATTGTTTTGAGGGGTGTGGGACTTGCAGGGCTAGGGAGGACTTGAGAACATGGATGAGAGCCTCAACCGCCCACTTCTCCACCACAGCCTTGCCTGCCGCTCTCTCGGGCCCACTGTGAGCTGTGTGTGCAGATGCTCAGACTGGGCTGGGCGGGCTGACGTGGAGAAGCCCAGGGTTTGGTGCGAACCTAAGGCAGCTCCATGGAGGAAGACTCCAGGCCTCCTTCCATCCATACCCACAAAACACCCCTTTTGTTTTTACTAAAGGCGGGAAGGGTATATGAGGAGGGAGAAAAAGGAGCCACAGAGCCACCTTCATCCCAAGACTTTAAGGAGCACAGCGTATGGTCACTAATAAGTGACAATCTCTGCTCAGAAAGGGTGAGAAAGTTGCGCATGGTGGTGCATGCCTATAATCCAGCACTCTGGGAAGCTGAGGCAGGAGGATAGCACATTTGAGCCCAGCCCAGGCAACTCAGTCCTGTCTCAAAAATAAAAATGAATAAATAAAAAGAGTGAGGACACAGCTCAGTGCGGAGGCCCTGGGTTCAACCCCGGTACTACAGCAGCAGCAGCAGCAACAACAATAACAAAGGTGAAGAAACTCAGCCACAGAGCATCTTTAGGTATCCAGCGACCGTCATCTGTCCCATTGTGTGGTTAGAGTAAGTCACCCTCCAGCTGGACCAGAGCGGGCAGTTGGGGTGGAAATAACACCTGTATCTAGATTGGGTGGCCACAGCTCCAGCAGCACCAGCACCAATGACACCGCTGGAGGAGACAGGGAGCCTTCATGCTTGTCTCCCCGTTTCACTTGCTGGAATGTTTTGTTTGCTGAGCTCATTCCCAGTGCAACTGTGAGAATTCATGATTTTATGTATAATTAAAATAGGCATTAGCTTAATACTTATTGTTTATAGTTGTCCCTGAATATCTGTAGGGGACTAACTCCAGAAGGCCTTCAGACACCAAAATCCAAGAGGTTCAAGCCTTTACATAATGGGGGCAGGATTTGCATATAACCCATACACATCCTAACGTATACTGGAAGTCATCCTGGCCCCTAGTAATAGGTAATGCAGTGTATATGCTGTGTAGATCCTTGTTACACTCTATTGGCTAGGGAATAAGAAGGAAAATAAAACCTTATACAGGTGCACTGCAGAGCTTTTCCCAAGTAGTTTTGATCTACCATTGGTTGACTCTACCTATGTTGAACCCCTGGGTACAGAGAATTGACTATACTTTAAAAATCTGACCTGGAATGTAGAAACATTAACCATCTTGAAGGGGTTAAGTTCAAATACATGGAAAACCTTTTCCAGAGAGCAACACTTGGCATTTAGGCATCACACACAGACCACAGTGCAAGGAAAGCCATCCTGCTGCCTGGCCCAAATGATCATGGTTACCTGGATATGTTGGACCTGTCTCTTCCAGTCCTGCTAGCATGTACCTGTGACACAGTGCAAGGCTGCTTGGCACAGGACGGTGTTTGTAACTCCCTGAGAGCTCTGGGCTCTGCCTCCTGGAAGATAGATGCTCCATTTATCAGTTTCCTACTTCTAGAGAAGCTATGCAAATGTATTCCTGGCCTTGAATTATTTATGGCATGGTTACTAAATTAATAAAACATTTTCAAGGGCTTGGGATTTGCGGGTAGGAATTTTCGAAAAAAAAATTGAGAATTGAAGCAGAACAAAGCTTCACATTTTTGGAGCAAAATATCACAGATGTTGGGAAGTCTTGTAAGACAGATGCCAAGAAGAAAAAGTCACTAGTGCTTATTCATAACTGTGGCTGCCCAATACTGTGCCATCCTAGGACTGAGGAAACCGGCAACATCCCCTGCCCACTCCCAACCTTTTCTTTTGAAAAAATGTCAGACCTAAGAATAGTGCCCCGAACTTTCACCCAGATTCAACAATGGAGCTTTTAATGGCTTGTTTTCCTTTGCCCACCATAGACAAGTCACACACACACACACACACACACACACACACACGAGATGCTAATGTGAAAGTTGTGGTGTTTTCATTTTTAGTGCCTTACTTTTTTTTCTGGACATACACCATGCCAGATGCATTATGTATATTGGAGATAATAACTAGGTGCATTTTCTCTGCAGTCGAACCTACCCGATGACATCTTTGAAAATGAAAAGGTGGCTGAGGAGAAGGTGCCACTGTCCCTCAGCTTCAGTGACCTCCCCGATGGGGACTGCACGCTTACCTCCAGCTCGGCTGCGTCTCCAGCCAGCTCATGCTCCGCCAACCCAGAGATCACCATCACCCCTGCAGAGCGCTCCCACGGCAGCCTGTGCTCCCAGAGTGAGGGTGCGAGAGACAGCAGCTCTGTGTCCTCCAGCAGTTCCCTGGGCCAAGGCCAGGAGTCAGGGTGCCCCGAACCAGAGGATGCAGCAGAGCCTGGGAAAGCAGCCTTGGTCCCAGGTGCTGGCACCAAGCACCTGTTCCTTGAGGATGGTGTGGCTGAGGCCCTTCTGCAGGAGTCAGACGAGGCCTCTGAGCTGAAGCCGGTGGAGCTGGACACTTTCGAAGGGAACCTCACGAAGCAGCTGGTGAAGAGGCTCACCTCCGCCGAGGTGCCAGCAGCTGCCGAGGGGCAACTGTGCGAGGGCTCTGTCAGTGGAGAGTCGGAAGGCTGCAGGTCCTTTCTGGATGGCAGCTTAGAGGACGCCTTCAGCGGCCTTTTCCTCGCACTGGAGCCACATAAGGAGCAGTACAAGGAGTTTCAAGATCTGAGCCAAGAAGTCATGCATCTGGATGATATTCTAAAAGTAAGTACTTCCCAGAGGCATTGACTGTGTTTGGAGGGAGGCACTCTCAACCAACATTCCATGTTACATAGCCTGTCCTTTTCGGGGTGTCAGGCAACGGGGAGCCCTCTCCTTGATGGGGAAGTTAGGAGGAGCCCCTTCTCCTGATTTGGCCCAGATCAGCAAGCCAGATCTTAGATATCTCATCAGCAATTAATTATCAATCGTACCCTAGAAGCCAGGGGACCCCGGCTTCACAGGAGATGCTTTTCTCAATCGTTGGTGATCAGACAGGGGGAATGCGGGTGAGAGGGATGATTTCCTCTTGGGAGAGAGGCCTGATGATGAGCTCAGACTGCTACATTAGAATGGATCCACCTCTACGTGGCACACAGGGTAAAATGTTGAAAAACACTGTACAGGTAGACAGAACTTGAATTTTTGTCCTGAATCACACCGCCACCTCTTATGTTCTTTGCTTTCCCACTTTGACTTATATAGTCACAGAGAAGAGAACTTGGATTCTTTTTCTTGAAAGAGCAATTCAATGGAGACTTGAAAGTAAGGTTGTGGCAGCAGGCTGAGAACAGTCCACAGCAGGGTGCCCTTTGCATCACTGTTTTAAGATATGGGCTTCCCAGGACCACCTAGAGGTCCAACTTTGAGTCTTTCTGACCATCTTATCTTCTTTGCTCTTTCTTCAGTCATGTGGACTGAGCACTGGAGAGGATCTGTGCTTAGGGCTGATGGTAGTTTAACCTCTGGCTGTCCGGGTCCTTGAAACCTCCTGACAGATAAGTTCCACCATAGGCATAGCCTCTGAGAAGCAGGGAAGGCCACCAGCATGTGCTTTCTGTAAAACAGAGCTCAGAAGCATCCGCTTAGGGCTTCCATGTGAAGAGTGCCAGCCTGATTCTCCCATGAGCCTCTTTGCTGCCCAGCCAGATGGCATTACTATGTGAGCAGAAGGCATTCATGCCAAAGAGCTCAGATGCCAATTGGTCCCAGCTAAAGCAGAAGTCTTAAAGAAAGCTAGGGGTTAGCAAGCAATTCAACCAGCCGGCCAGTGGGGAGGAAAGCAGTTTCCATTGCAGCGTGGGGGCTGCTAAGCCGCTCAATCCACCAGAAAACACTAAGAATACCATCTATGACTCTTATAAAAACCAGGTAGTCACCCATTTCTTTCCAGAATATTCTTTCAGCCTACTGTGGTTCCAAAATGATCCTACTAGTAAAACCCTCAACTACCCCTTTTTTTTTTTTTTATGACCAAGAAACAAGATCCACCCTGCATAAAATCAAGTTGCATAGACAGCTAGGTTAGGAAAGGAGACATTAGACATGGGCCAAATCCACTCTGGCTCCTTCTTTTTCCCTGAGATTGAAACGGGGCACCAGGGTTTAAGTCTGGGGCAAGTAGCTTTGTATCCAGCCAGAATTAAAGCATCAGCTGGACAAAGCTTTCTCTCTCTTTTTTCCCCCTTCACATTCCTAGGGTGCTAACCATCTTGAGGATCAGAAACTCAATGATGCTGCCTCTTGGACGGAGATCCCTGAGGGTGAATGAAACAACTGTGACTTAAAAGACTGAAAGGACATTTTCCCACGTGATCTTGTGCCATCTTAAGTGTCAGACACAGAGCCCCGCAAGGCCCGTCCTATCTTGTGCTAAAAGATCAGCAAAGAGCGCCACCTAGAGTACCGGAGGACACTTAGTGCGTCTCCCTTGCAGGACTTGCCCATTCATTTCACCCCAGCGCCCTCTTGAGTACTTGGAAGTACTCCTCCAGTCTCTGAGCCTGCAGAAGCTGGCATAATTCTATAACGTTTCTTCCCATACACCACAGTGTAGACTTCTCCAGACCACAGCAGGGTTTGCTCCCGTGTTTCCAGGGCCTGTTTAGGAAGCGCTGGGACTCCTTCCACTCAGGACAGAGTTTCAGAGAAAGCAGAGTCAGGGCCAGGGATATAACTCAGTGGCACAGTGCCTGCCAGGCAAGCACAAAGTCCTGAGTTTGATTCCAGAAAAAAAAAAAAAAAAAAAAAAAAACAGAAAGTAGGGTCACTTCCTATGATCCCTCCACCCATTCATTGCTTCTCAACTATCAAAAGAAAAACGATGCTGTGAATGTATCAGTAAGATGTAGGGCTTCTTATGTGGGGAGGGTGGGCCCTGTGAATTCAAGCAGTTTTCTATTCCTGGGATATGTTTTTGTTGATCCTTTAAAGCCAGTGCTTTAGATAAAAAGAGCTCCAGTCTCAAGACACTGAAGACAGTGTCACTGGGAAATTGGTTAGTCGTGAGCCTTGACTCAGTGACTTGAAATTTGACTACTGGTTTTTAGAGATGATCTCACACTCATGAGCTCAAGTTCTTGGTTTTTGGGTTCTCACCTCAGCCTCCCAGGCATGTAGCTAGAAAGACAGGTGGGTGCCCCCACACCCAGCTTGCTAGTTATATTTTACTTGGGGCTGAGCACTAGGCTGCCAGTGGAACATAGCAGTTCTGTTTCCCAAGGCTTTGTGGTTGTTATATTTCCTTAACTTCTTAGGATGAAAACGTTGAGTGGAAATAGAGCTGCCCATCCCCCAGCATCTCCCGGAGCCTCACTGAACAACTTGTGGCCAATCTTGTGTTGTCTGTTCATTCTGTGTACTTTACTCTGGAATATTTTGGAATAAACCCCAGATTTTGTGCCATTTTATCCATGGTTGTACTTATTTTTCAAATATGAAAATTTTAAATACTCACAGAAAAATAAAAACTTGGAAAAAAAAAAGTGTTGCATCTGTAGCTGGGTACCGTGTGTGTCTCCTCTGGGGGTGTTGACGCTGTCCTGGTGCCTTCTGCCTTTGCAGTGCAAGCCCACAGGGAGCCGTAGCCGGTCTTCCAGCTTGAGTCTTGCCGTTGAGAGTGCTTTAGAAAGCTTTGATTTCCTGAACACCTCCGACTTTGCCGAGGAGGAGGAGGATGGCAGTGAGGTTTGTCACGTCAGAGGAGGAGGTGCTGACTCCGTCTTTTCAGACACTGAGACTGAGAAAAACAGGTAAGTCTGAAGTCAGCCTTTACTCCTCCATCATAACTGGCACAGTTGGTCTTTGTCACTGTCAGAGGGGACCCAGTACACAACTCCAGGATGAAATGATTCACTCAGGGGACTTGGCTTATACTACTTTCCTTATGGTTCATTTTTGTTGTACAGTTTCTAAAAATTATTCACCTCCTTGAGGTTGCTGAAGGGAAGATACATCGTTTCTTCTTTAGATGTGAAGGAGAAGGTTTTGTAGCTGTGTGCATGCGTGTGTACTCTGACCTGTGGCCGGCTGAGTCTAAGATTTGTCCCCATTCTGTTAATTCCCTGTTACCTAAGCACATGGGGAGGACCCTCACTGGAGGCCAGTTGGGGCTGGTTCTCAATTCCATGCTTCTGTCTTGCTGGTCATTGCTTTCTCTCCCCTTCGTCTCTTTCCCTCAGTCCCCTGGGTCCATGTGAGAGTAAGCTCACCAGTGCACTCATCAAAGCCAGGCACAAGCCCAAGAGCTAGGAAATGACCTTCTCTAGGTGGGCAGGGCATAAAGGTAAAAGGTGGAGCCTTTCCCTTCCCCACAGAACCAACTGTAGACCCAACTCCTTTTGGGTCCATTCTGTCATTTCAGGTGAAGTAGAGCAAACACAGCGGGACATCCCTACCTCCAGCAATCCATCATAGTGCGCTCTGAGAGAGCAAGCTCTTTCCCTAAACAAGGGCAGGATTTCTATCCTACTTAGCTTGGGTATGAGGTGACCTAAACAGATTTTGAAGATACAACAAGCTACAGCTCTTCAAATCTTTCCAATTCTCTTTTTGGGCAGTGTTCCTGATTTTTGGGTTCTGTTGTTCTGGGTGGATTTCATTTTTCAAAATAAAACCAGGAATAACAACAACATGAAAACTGGAAATAAAAAAGATTTAGTACATGAATGTAATGCATAAGTTATTCAAATGTGTCCTACATTGAGACTTTTCTAGCTCAACTAAATGTGTAAAGTGCTTTTCCACCGAGAAATTTTCTGTATACTCGTTAGCTTGAACTACTACATGCTAGATCATGGTTGGACATCAGGCTAAACTTTCTTTTCTCTTTACTGTAAGCAGCATTTTAACAAAAATAATAAAGCCTTTGTGCATTTTACAAAAGACTGATAGAAAATATATCTAATTCAATCAGTCTTGCTGTATGTCATCAGGAATATTAGGGCAAAGTGTGTGCGTGTATGTGTGTGTGTGTGTGTTGTGTGTGTGTGTGTGTATTCGTGTGTGTGTGAAATACATGTTGACTACCAGGACATAAGTTGATGGTCACCTTCTTGGAGGCAGATGTGCATCAGAGGAAGGCATTCTGAGCTTCCAAGCGCCAGTGTAGGATTCTCTTGCTGTAGACTCCAGGAACAGGAAGACGGATGCAAAAGCTGCCCTGTCATTACCCAGCCCTGGGAACTAGGACACACACTTGTTAACATCCCTGCTAGTCATGTCTTTCCCTGTGTCCCTCCCTCCCTCTCAAGCACACTGACTCATTTTAACAATACAATTGGCCAGGCATGGTGCTGCACACCTGTAATCGCAGAACTCACTGAGGTAGAAGGATTGCTGTGAGTTGGAGGCCAGCCTGGGCTACATAGTGAATTCAACATCAGCCTGAACTACATAGTAAAACCCTGTCTTAGAAACAAACAAAAAGAATAAAATTAGATACCATAATGCCTGTGGTGATATCAACAGTGGACTGAAACAAAGCCCAATAAGCAGGACTAAGCTATATTCTCAGTATAGGGCGTATATTCCAACACCCTTGTTAACTTTGGTCCTGAGTAGAACATCATGTTACTCTTTTTGGCAACTTTCCTTTTTACTTGTCTTCAAGTAGCAACTAATCTGAGGCCAGGAAAAGGCCTTAAATAGATTATTTCTTAATGGTATTACTCTTGGGAAACCACAAATATAGAGGACAGTTTAATCCCCAAAACTTTGGCAAATTACTGTGTCAACAGAGCAGAAAAGTGCAATACATGCAAAAGGAGGGCACATTTCAAAGGTCTCTTGGTGAAACTCCTTCATAAGGGGTTCATTGTGCTTGAGAAGCAAACAGAATTCTAGAAGCAATTTGTTTGCGTGCTGTTTTAATACCAGGCAAATTGGCAACAGAGCTGAATTACATTGTTTTTGAAAGGTATCTCTGTCTGTCAAAGTAGACAAGTGAAAAAGACTGATTCAATGGGTGCCATGGGGCCTGATGCCAGCCACGTTGACATGGCCTATGGTTTGGACACAGAGAGAAGTAGCTAATGTTTCGCCCACCCTCCTGCTTCACCAGTTACAGGTCAGTGCACCCGGAAGCCCGGGGGCATCTTAGCGAAGCGCTGACGGAAGACACAGGCGTCGGGACCAGTGTGGCTGGAAGCCCTCTCCCACTGACCACAGGGAACGAGAGCCTGGACATCACCATCGTGCGCCACCTACAGTACTGCACCCAGCTCATTCAGGTAGTGTGCGTCCGAGAGCCCGGGCTATGTATATGCCAGGCAAGGATGCTCCATTGTTTAGTTTTTACAGGGAAATTAGAATTCAGAAATAAAAGAACACTGCTGCTTAGATTTGAAGCAAGTCAGAAACTCTGATGGGCATGCCCATCCTTCCCCAACCCTGGGTTTCCCATCTTAAAACCAAGAATCTCCAAAACCTTCAGAGATAGGGAATAAAATACTATTAGCTCTCACTTGAAAATCACTTGCTGGTAGATGAGAGTAATATGATTAAGGAAAAAGTAATAAGGATTTGCATTCTGCCCTCTACAGACAGAGTCCAAAAGCCGTATTAGTGAATGTATTTCAATGTCAGAGTCTTGTGAGCTCGTTCTTACTACCTGGAGAGCTAAAAGCAAAACACTAGAGAATCTGACCACATTTCTCCAGGTTTTGAGTAATTTTTATGAGCACTGAGAAGGAATATTTCTCTAGGCCATCACCACCACCACCAGCACCGTTAGCTCTCATCCAGGACACCACCCAGCTGCATTTTCTTCTCATTTCGAGCTGTTTACCCCTTCAGGTTTTGCAACAGTGGAACAAATATTTTGAAACTCTTTTGTTGCAAGAAGGCTTTCAGCCTTTGTGAACAGCACATTTTTTACTCAGACCATCTACTTAAATGCTTCCCCTGGCAGGGTTGCTTGTCTTCTCCCAGTCTTGTTCCTGCTTAGATGTGTGTGGAACAAGATAAGAATGTGGAAGCATCCAGGTGTGGTGGTGCACACCTGTAATCCCAGAACTCCTTGAGGCTGAGGCAGGAGGATCACAAGTGTGAGCCCAATCTGGGCAACTTCGTGACTTAGCGAGATGCTATCTCAAAATAAAAAATAAAAAGGGCCTGGGGATGTAGCTCAGTGCAAAGGCCCTAAGTTCAATCCCTAGAACTGGAAAAGAAAAAAAGAAGATGAATGTGAAAGCAAATATACAGTAAGCCCCCAATTTACAAACATAAGTGCTGCAAACTTTCACAGAGAGGAACGGACCTCGAATTATGAACATTCATAGAGGTGAACAAATCGCAAAAGTAGCTCACCTGTCCACTGGACATTGTCACAGTTGTGCTGCTGTGTGCTTGCTGTATAGTGCCATAGTGCACAGTAGGACAGTGCCCAATCAGAGCCAGGGGTGTCCAGAAGCAAGAGGAAAATCAGTGGTGATGGAGGGGACTGCTAGGAAGCACAAAGCAGTGTACGTAGTGTATTTGTGTCAAAAGTGTGCACAACTCACCTTGTCAGACTTAGGAACAAATGTGACTTGCAGACATTCTCCCAGAATCGACCTTGTTCGTAGGTCAGGGACCTACTCATTATGGTTTGGGGAAACTGAAAGAGTAGAAGAACTGTGTTCCGAAGATCGCAGGGTCAGCAGAAAGGCAAGACGCAGGCTGGGAAGTCTCCAGTGGTGTTGCGTTGCTGCCTCAGTAACACATTTGTGATGAGCTGTAGAGGAATATGCTTTTCCACCACAAGTAAAGAGCCTTCCAGAAGCCTCAGACAATGTGTGTGCTATAGGAAGCTGGCTGGCAATTTTAACTCTGCCCTGTTGATTGGCCAACACCCTGTTGCATGTGGAGGTCACACACTGTGACCTTGATAACCATGATAGAAGAAGGTGAAATTCTCTCTTCTGATCACAATACACAAGGATTTTTCTGTTTGCTTTTACCAACTATTTGAATAGCATGCTTTTGATAGCTCTTTATCCTTGCTGATTCTGATATCTCCTGAGCAAGCAACCTGTTTGCTTTTCAGAGGTAAAGCAGGTCTTTTGTGAGACATAAGAGAATTCCCTATCATGAAAGGGTGAAGTTTCACCCAAGACTAATCTGCACACAACAGTCAGGGTGATGTTTCTCTCCAACACCAGGCCAGGATTGCAACAATCCAAGGCTTTTGTGAGAAAGATCCGTTCTGGAAAAATAAAAGAAGTAGGTATAAAGACATAGACTGGAGGAGTGAGGATTAGAAATGTCTCGCTTGCACTTAGTCCTGAATCAGTGAGTTTCCTTCATTTGTGACATAATTGCAGAGAAGTAAAAATGAGCGTTTGATATGAAGCATAATTGTTATAATTATTTTCCAAGTAATGAACATTTCTACTGCACTTCCTTACATGACAAGCATTAGTACATAATTAGCTGCTAGATTTTTTTAAGTTTGAAAGTGCATTCATATTAGAGTCCAGATGGTTTAGGCAACATCGCATGGTGTTTGTGATGTGGATCCTGCATCCGCACCCCCAGGTGACCTGAGCAGGTCTCTGAGAGACACCACAAAGAGTAGAATCATCAGTCAGCCAAGTATTTATGCCCTTTCCTCTCTCTGGCTTCTTTTTCCTTGTGGCCCACACACAGTACAACCACTTACTACTTAGTGTGACCTTGGGTGGGTTACTTATCCTCCCTGTGCCTCAGTTTCCTCATCAGTAAAATAGGAATATCAATAGTACCCACTTCAAGGGATTATTGTGAGAAATAATATGAGCTTATAACATGTATGGGGCTCAGACCAGTGCCTGGTATGTAGGAAGCGCTCAGTAATAATGAGATAGCTCTGATTGAAGGTACGATTATTATGCAATCTGCTCTCAACTTCCAGCTTGAAAACAAGAAAATAAAACCATGTTGTGAAAAATCACTAGGCTTGTACAACACATCTTCTCCTTATCCCCCAAAATACAGCCTAAACACGTCCTCCAGATTGCAAAGAGGAGGCTTAGATTTCCAGCAGGTAAGAGGAGAGGCTGTTTTACCATGACTTCCATGGCTCCTGCCTACAGCATTCCAGAGTTTCACAGGCATGAAAAACATTTAAGGTACAAGGCGCCACTCTGATCTCCTCAGGCACGGTTCCTGGTGCAGGGAGAGAGCAGCGTTTCGGAGCTGGTACACAGGCATTGATCAGTCTCTGTTACATCACTGCTGACGGGCCAGGAAGGAGGCAACGGGGAGGTAACACTAGTTCTCTTGACAACAGCATCATTAAAACAGTGTTTTTGTTTGTTTTACCAGCAAATTGTCTTCTCCAGCAAAATCCCCTTTGTGGCAAAAAATCTCTTAGAGAAGCTCTCCCGGCAGACCCAAGTGATGGAAAAACTGGCGGCTGTCAGTGATGAGAACATAGGGAACATCAGTTCTGTAGTGGAAGGTAAGCTCCCACCAGTCACCCACCGCATGGGTGAGGACACGCCAGCCCATTCTGCTGCGTGTGCCTGCTCCCTGCTTTGACAAGGAGGTGGAAAAGCATTCTTGGGCCATCAACTAGGATAAAGCCTCCATACTTTGGGTTTGTTAATACCACACGTCAGCCTTCTGCATCAAACCAGAAATTAACAGCTCTTCCTGTAGGGTCTCCAGCCCTGGAAGCCAGACACTAGTGTATAAGCAGAAACAGCATCACAAGCATACTGAGTTTCGCAGACGTTTTCTGCTGGTGAGGTTCCCTTGGGGGCAGAGAGTCAGGATTGCTCTCAGGCTGTGGAGGCAGCTAAGATGTTCCCATAGCAGCCGATTGTCAAGTGGATTGTGCTTCCTAACCCTGCTAGGCAGGGAGGGTAGAAACCACATGGATTCAAGGCCTCCAGGACGGTCCCTCGTTCTCAGCATTCTAGAAGCAGACCCTGATATAGGGAAGGTGTCTTTGCCTTTGTGTGGTCTGACTCCACGGTTTTCTGCCCCTTTTGAGACTGTAAATAGAAATAGGGTCTCCTGGTAATCTCTGATGAAACTCAAAACCTTCCTGAGGTCCTCCCTCCCTGTGGGCTTCTCCTTGTTCCATCCATTCCCACTCAGAGCAGGTGACCCCGGAAAAGAGGTGTGAGAAGGGGCAGACATCCAGCCTGCAAGTGACCAGTGTCTTCTCCTCTCCCCTCCCCGGCCTTCCTCCATCACAAGGACCAAGGAAAGGGGCGGTGACTGGACACCGCCTGGCCCTGTGCTGTGCTCCCATGTCCATCTGAGAGCCATCTGGCAAGCGAAATCTCCAGCCACCATGGCAACATTCCACCCCCTTCAGGAAAGGCTCTCAACCTGTGCAACTCTAGTCTCATATCTTATGCATTTGCTCTAAAGTTACAGTTGGGATGCTTATGCATCTTCCCTGGTGGAGATGCCATATTGTGTCCCTGAAAGCAAACAACCTTGTTTCCGCTGCATTTTCTTCATCTCCCTCCCTGCATGATTAGTTCCTCCCCATAACTTCTTTGTCCTCTGACCGTCTACCAAGCACAGAGGAATCTTGTAGTAGGTCCCTTTGAAAACCAGTCTTACAAAGGCTACAATATCTCTCTCCCTGCCCCAGCCAGTGCACCAGCTTCATCTATAATGCGTGTCATGCATGTGGGCCACTTCTCTTTTCCAGCCATTCCAGAATTCCACAAAAAGCTGTCTCTGCTGTCCTTCTGGACCAAGTGCTGCAGCCCAGCTGGTGTCTACCACAGCTCAGCGGACAGGGTGATCAGGCAGCTGGAGGCCAGCTTTGCCAGAGCCCTCAACAAAGAATACCCAGGACTAGCAGAGCCAGGTATGGGACAGCAGAGGGCAGAGAATTCCTGTCCTTTGGCATGCCTCTCACACTGCATGCTCTGCAGCCTGTGGGTATGGGGCCCACAAAGGCCAGCCTGAAAAAGAAAGATGTGCCTTCCAAGGAGAACATCTTGTACTCAGAGATAAGAAAGTAAAACATTGTACATGTCTGAATTCAAAATATCAGCAGTGACTTTTTAGAAGTGCTACATGTCTGTATTGCAGTATACAGTTGTCCCTTGGCATCCGTGGCAGATTGGTTCCAGGATGCCCTGTGGATAACCAATCTGCAGGTGCTCCTGTTCTTTATATAAAGTGGTGTGGTGTTTATATATAACCCCCACACATCCCTCTGAGTACTCTGGATTATGTATAACACTTGATAAGGTATAAATGCTCTGCAAATAATTGTTAAACTGTATTGCTTAGGAAATATTGACACCCATGTGTTCAGCAGAGATGCAAATTTTTCTCCCGATGTTTTGGCCTACAGTTGGTCAAACCTAGGATTCAACTGTATGTGAAATGGTATAACCACTTTGGAAAAACTGGCAGTTTCCATTGAACCTGGTGATCCAGCAATTCTACTCTTAAATACATAAGGAGAAATAAGTGCTTATAGAGCTGGGGATATAGCTCAGTGGCACAAGCGCCTGCCTGGCAAATGCAAGGTCCTGTGTTTGATTCCCAGTACCAAAAAAAAAAAAAAAAAAAAAAAAGGAAAGAAAAGAAAAGGAAGAAGACCTTATATTCTCAAGGAAGTATATCTATAAGGAAGGTTTTAGCTTTATTCATGAGAGCTAAAAATTGGGGGATTTTAAATGCCCACAATAAAAGAATGGATCAGTCATAGTATAACCATACCATAAGGAATTATATAGCATTTTTTTAAAAAATATGTTGCTGCAAGCAACAACTTCAATGAATTTCATGGGTACTTTGTTGGGTGAACAGAACCAGATGCAAAAAAGTAAAATCAATTTATATCAAGTTCAGGAAGAACCGGGTAGAAATCAGGGGTTTAGCTCTGTATGGTAAGGGTGAGTAGGTAGCTATAGACAGGAAGAGGTGCAGCAGAACCCAGTGGAGCATTGAGTTTTCTGTATCTTTACCTCAACGGCAGTAGGCAGTTGTGTGTCCATGCTCAAGTCCTCTGGCTGTCCCTGAAGACGAACTCATATCACGTGCTCTACTCTATCTTGTAGAAATGGATGGACGAATGACTGAATGGCCATATTTCCGCTTTGCATCTTTCTCTTGTAGTGTTTCAAACCCTGGTGTCTCAGATTCTGGACCGGGCTGAGCCTCTGCTGTCCTCCAACCTGTCCTCAGAAATTGTCACCGTTTTCCAATATCACAGCTACTTTACTAGCCATGGTGTGAGTGACCTGGAAAGCTACCTGAGCCAGTTGGCCAGGCAAGGTGAGACATGTTCTTTTTGTCGTACCGCAGTGCTGGCTCTGTTTGGAGTTGTTTCTGATCTGTTTAATCACAATTTTTAGTGATGGTAACCACCCCACACATCCCCACCCAGGTTCACAGCTGAGCTGAGATTTGCCTTTTAAATGACTTCTCAGCCTTTAACTAATAAAGTTCTTGTTAATGGAACCTGGGTTTACTAAGCCTCACAGTCAGTCAGCAGAAGTATAGAATTAACAAAAAGCTGGTAAATGATTTAAGAGTTTACTTTGGTTTCTTTCCCTTGGTAATGTATTTGCCATCTGTGGGATCAACCCCACAGGCAACAGTATTTGATATTGACTGTTTTGATGGAGTTTTCGGTGGTAATGGCCTTTAAAGGCTGGGATGACACAGTGGGAAGGGAAAGTAAGAGAAGGTAGAAAAGTCCATGCAAGCTGCATATCCTGGGAAAGAAGAGAAGGAGCCCAACTTGGGCTGCAACCACAATGACCTTGTCCTCATTTCCTGTGGCACTCCAAATATTAGCAATGCAGCATTATGCGGAATGCAGACATCTTGGGAGTGGAGCCAGGCAGCAAAGGACTGGTTTCTGGTTCCCAGGTTTGTGCTCTATAAATCCTCAGAGCCCTGACAATGCAGGGAGAGAGACAGGAGGGACGAGGAGTGTTCCTGGGACCAGCGGAGCTTGGCAGAGCCCCAGGCAGCAGCAGCATGTCTGGAGCAGACCCAGGTTCAGCCCTTCTCCTTCCAGAACATTAAACCTGGCTACAACATGGTCAGCATGTAAGGAGCCACCCTGTGGAGGAGGAAAGTATGGGGCATGGTCTGTAGCACCCAAGATGGCGGACAGCAGGCTGATACAAGAGCAGGAAGAGACCTCACAGGCAGGAGTCAGAGGTCTCCAGCCCAGGATCTCACTTTGTGATGCTCTCATTTCTTGACACTAAATTTGTCACAGTCTAAGTCAGTTTTGTGAGCACACATCTGTTACACCAGGTATATGCTTGGCAGTTTATGTCTCTACACCTCTTACATTCCATGGTCCCTGGGCAGACTTCACTGACCAACAGCAATGGGGAAGGACAGGTGGAAAAACCTTTCACCTTTTGAGTTTCTTTTCTTTCATTATGAAAGGAAAAGTCAATATAGAAAATTGAGAAAACTGGGAACCTTAAAGGAAAAGATTCAAATCCCTCATCCTCCCACTCATAAAATGTCATGCGTTTTTTCAATTGCATGTGGATGGGTTTTAGATGTCAAACTTGTGTGTATTCCTTAGAGTGTTCGGTCTTGTTTTTGATGTGATGTGTTTGATGTAATTTGAAATGCCACCTTTATCACAGGCTAATTTTTTCATAAATACTTGTCTTGTGTCCTAAAAATATACATCAAATACTTTCGTTTTTACTGAACGTGTCACTGAACTGTATCTTACCTTCTAGTTTCCATGGTACAGACTCTGCAGTCACTGCGCGATGAGAAGCTGCTGCAGACCCTGAGTGACCTCTGTCCTAGCAACCTCCCAGCCCAGCAAGAGGTCCTCAGGAGCCTGGCTCTGCTGCTGACCAGAGACAGCAGTGAAGTCAGAGAGGCTGGGAGCCTTTTCTTGACAACAGCCTCCAAAAACAAGCATTTCAGGGAAAAGGTAGGATGCTGACTCATGGCCATCAAGCCAGAAGGGTGTTTAACCTTCCTTCATTTGCTTTTAGCAGTTTAACTTCCATTCTCGTATAAAATAACTTTCTTCTCCTTATTAATAATGTTTTCTGGGCTGATGGTGTAGTTCAGTGTTACAGTGCCTGCCTAGCATGTGCAAAGCCCTGGTTTTGATCTTGGCAGAGCAAAAAAATACAATGATGATGATGATGATGGTATCTTCTTTGTCCCTCAAATCTTTTTATGTTCTGAGTACATGTTTTCAGTACATAAAGGTTGCATTCATCTTGGGGCATAGGTGCATGTTCATAACACAGCTTGGTTCATTTTCAATCCCTGTAACCTTCCCACCCTCTTCCTTCTGTCCTTCTCTTAAGTATTCTTCCCCTGGTTTCATTCCTATTGTTATTATTATTTCTTAGCTCATATTTGTGATATAAAATGTTGGCATTCATGGTGAGTGTTTGGTGCTGGTGACACATCTTGAATCCTTTTGCTTCCCCTTCCTGTGGAGCACAGTGGCACATGCCTGTAACCCTAGCTTTTCAGGACGCTGAAGAAAGAGGATCACAAGTCTGCATCCAGCCTGTGCAACCTAATGCTACCCTGTCTCAAAATAAAAAATAATAAGAGCTGGGGATTCAGCCAGTCATACAAGCCTCTGGGTTTGATTCCCTGATATCACAGATAAAAATGCTTTTTGTAAAATGATTAAAGCAATAGAATATAGTCAAATGCTCTGTAAGTCCATGTTCCAGAGAAAACTGTTAATAGCTCGTTATCTATTTCTTCACATTTTACGCTCCAGTGCCAAGAGAATCTCAGTCCTGTTCATGGACAGCGTTGCACACTCAGGCGTGTATATGCACTGCTAACTGCAGTGTTTGCACTTCTTTAATTTTCCTCTTTTTGATAAGATGGAGAGTGGTTGGCCATAAAACAGCCTTATGAGTTAATTCCACTAAAAAAAAAACAGAACTTGTAGGAACAGACAACACAGTTTACCCTCTTGGACCAACCTGACATTAGGGCTCACATCTTGTGAGCCCTCAAACACACCAACATACCCTTGCTTACAGCACCCCAGAAAAACTAAACAAGCTCTTATGAAGCACTCATAGGTGACCTTCTCAAGGACACAAAAGGACCTCATTCGATTGCCTTGAGTTGATCTGAATTTTGATGAGTCAATCTTTAGAATGACTTCAAATGCTAAAGGGAGCTCACGGGGGTCCACTGTGCTTGAACTGCAGATTCTTGTGATGTCTAAAAAGCTGATACATTAAAGCTGAAGGAGATGTATACCACTTATTCTGTCTGCAGAATATGTCTCTGCAAAATCTTGCGTGCAAATGTTCATGTCAATATTATTCTTATTACCAAAAGGTAGAGACAATCTAGATGTCCATCAACTAATGCGTGAACAGACAAAACGTAGTCTGGCCATGTAATGGAATATTATTTAGCCATAAAAAGGCTAATGACATGGTATAGCCTCAGTAAAACCTGAAAGAGCAAGACATGAAAGCCACATACTCTATGTCTATTTCTGTCAAATGTTCAGAATAGGCAAATCAGAAGACAGAGCAGATAGGTGGTTGCCATGGGCAGGAGGGAGGCTTCCAGTAGGTGCAGGATTTCTTTTTCAGGTGATGAAAATATTCTCAGAGAGTGGTGATGGTTTGTGAATATGCTAAAAAGTACTGAATTGTGCACTTTAGAGGGGAAACGTTTTTATTTATTTATTTATTTATTTATTTATGGTGGTACTGGAAATTGAACCCCTGCTCTTCACACTGAGCTACATCCCCAGCCCATTTTATTTTCAGACAGTGTCTCACTAAGGTGCTCAGGCTGAACTTGAACTTGTCTTCCTGCCTCAGCTTTCCAGAGTTCTGAGATTACAGATGTGCACCACCATACCTGGCTTTATATCTCCATTTTTAGGAAAGAATGGAGTTGTTCTTCAGAACTGAGAAGACGGAATGTGTTTAATCCTAGCGATCAGTGACTACAGCAGAGCTACACATAATCCATGGGCAAGCGTGCCGCTGGGTGGCTGATTATACATTCAGTCGGTACTCTGGCCCCATCAGATTTGAAGGGGCTTCACCAAGCGTAGAATATCAGTCTAGGTGCTAAGAAGTTAAATAAGTTTTTAAAAGAAACCAAAGTTTTTGTCCATAAAAGAGTTCTACACAAGGACTGGGGCTACTCAGTGTTACAGCATGTGTTTAGCCTATGCAACCTCCAGCACCCCCCAAAACCCTCAATATAAATGAGGTCAAATGGTGTTTTTCTCCTATAAACAAATGCATGAATACACAGATATATGAATACGTATTTGTAAGAATAAGTGCAATATTGTAGCTATATTTACTAGGGCTTACTTTGTGGAATTGCTTTCAGTCCTTTACTTATCTTACCACATTACAGGCTCAAAAAGACTTATAAGTAGTTCTCATCATTGCAACTGTTTTATAGCTTAGCAGATGAAGCCATAGGATGTTAAGTAATGTGCCCAAAGTCACACTGGGAAATTAAGATGCCTATTAGGAATATATATACTGCTGGGGGTGTAGTTCAGTGTTAAGGCCTTGGGTCTAGTATCTACCACAAAACAATGGAAGGGGAGGGAAGGCCTTGGGTTTAGTATCTACTACCACAAAACAACGGAAGGGGAGGGAAGAGTAAGGGAGAGGAGGGAAGGGAAAACAGGAGGAAGGAAAGGGAGGGAGGCAGGTTTAAAAATACAGGTACATGTAAATAATGACAGTTAATGTTCCAAAACAAAAGGGGTGAATCTAAAAAATTCCTTTGTATAAAAGACAAGGTGATAGCATTTATTGATCCTACAGATACATATTACAGCATGGTGATCTGACTGGAGTTCTGCTTTTTAAAATAAAAGTAATTCAAGAAGATAGCAAAAATTGCACAGTACAGCCTGCTAAAATGAAAAGTTAGCCCTCCCCTTGCACTTCTAATGCTCTTCAAAAGTCATTACCATTTTTAAAAGTTTCCTGTGAACTCAAATATAACTTACAGTGATTCTTATCCATTTGAATTAATAGTAAATACCCACTTTATAAACCATTTAAGAAGAAATTGGCTCGGTAAATTAAGAACATATTCCTTTATGTAAAACTTTTCTCCTGCAGTGCTGGGGATTGAACCCAAGGCTTCTCACGTGCCCCCAAGCACTCTACCTGTGAGCTGCTCCTTCAGCACTGTAAAAGATTGTACCCATGTGCTACATAGCAAACTCACAAGCCTTAAACCAAAACCACCACCTTCTCGCTGGACTTTCCTGCCGGCTCCTGACTTCCTTTTTGCTGCCCAAACGCCCTCTTCTCCCTCAGTTTCCCAACCCAACCCACCCTTTCTAGTCCAATTCAAGTATTTCTGTGAAACCTACCCTGATGCTCCAAAAGATGCCTCTCCTCTTGCTGACTTACTCAGCATCCTGTAGCTTTCTTGCAGCACCTAGTATGTTTTTCTCTGCACTTCTTTCAAAATGGTTTTAGAATTTTTACTAGATGTAAAGGGCCACTTAAAAGCTAAATTCAGTAGGAGGAAGGGAATACAGAGACGTACCAAAGCACAGCTGGGTTAGCAGAATTAATTAGTCCTGGTGTTCCATAGCACCGTAGGGTAATTTTAGTCTATAACAACTTATGATACATTTCAAAATACTGTAACTAAAAAGGAAGAGGCCAAAGGATCCTACTATGTAGGCATGATAAATGTTTGAGGAGATAGAAAGGCTAATTACTCTGATTTATAATCACTGCATGTTATATACATGTACTATTATGCTGTACCTTGCCAATCCATACAAATATGTGTCAATTAAAAACAAAAGCAATATCCAGGTGTGGTTGTGCACTCCTCTAATTCCAGCACTTGAGAGGAGCAGAACAGAAGGATTCCAAGTTGAAACCCAGCTTGCACTGCACAGCAAATTCAAGACCAGCATGAGCTACATAGCAAGAACCTGTCTCAAAAACATCGATCAATATAAAAATGATAATATATTTAAAAAATAAAACTTTGTGTTAGTTTGCTAATGAACTCATTATTTTGAAAACTGAAAAAAGGAAAGAACCAATCATTAAAAAAAAAAAAAAGTTAGACTCACAACTTTGTATCTTCCAACTTCATATTTCCAGAGTCTAGGATGTCATAGAATATAGGGTGAGTCTACTGCATAGAGACATATAATCAATATGAATTTTAATGGATTTTTTGTCTTCCTCTTCTTCTTCTTTCTCTTCTTCTT